AAACGCTACCCCACATAAAAATTACCTCAAAATGGACCACAGACATAAATGTAAGAACTCAAAATGGACAACACATATATATGTAAGAACCAAAACTAAATGTAAGAAAGCATAGGTAAATCTTGGAGTAGACAATGACTTTGTAGTTAAGACACCAAAGGCCCAAGCACCAAAAGAAAAAATAATAAAGTAATGAACTTCATCAAATTTAAAACTTTTAAAGGCTACCATCGAAGAAAGTGAAAACACAATCATAGAAGAAAATATTTACAATTCATGTAGTTAGAATATAACTACCTAGAATATATAAGCAATTCTTATTGTTCAATATGAAAAGACAAATGGCAAGAAATTAGAATAGACATTTCTCCAAAGAAAATAGGCAAAAGCCAATAAGCAAATGAAAGGATACCCAGCACCATTAGGGAAATGTACAACCTCAGTGAGATACTACTTCACATCTATTAAGATGGTTATAATAAAAAAGATAATAATAAGTTGGCAAGGATGTGACTCAATGGGATCCCTCACACACTACTGGTAGGAATAGACTACAGACCTAAATGTAGCAGCTAAACCTATACAACTTCTGGAAGAAAATATAAAAAGCTGTTTGGCAGAGACTTTTAAAACTAACTAGCTCTCTCAGTGGTGGTATGCCCCTGAGTTCAATCCCCAGTACCAAAAACAACAACAACAACAAACTTTGTCTATTCTATATTCATTGTTATGGAAATAGAAAGATAAGCTGACAGACTAGGACAAAGTATTGGCAAAACATATATCTCTCAAGAGAATGATATCTAGGATATACAAATGGTTTTTGCATCTTATTAATAAGAAAAATGACCCAATTTGAAAAGATGGGCAGAAGATTTTTTTCTTCACCAAAGTAGATACAAATATGGTGAATGTGCACATGAAAGGATATCCAACATAAGTTGAAATGTAAATCAAAACTGCAATGTTATTACACATACAGTAAGATGGACAAAATTTAAGACTGATCATAACAAATGTTGACAAAGATGAAGACTATGGTATCTCTCTTAGAACTGCAGAGTATAACATGTAGTACAAACAATGGCACAAACTGTTAGAAAACTGTTTGGCAGTTGCTTTAAAAATTAAATCACATCTGTTGAGATATTTACTCCAGAGAAATAAAAGCATACATCCACACTGAGACTTGTGCACAACTATTCATGGTGGTTTTATTTGTAATAGTCAAAAAATCCCCAATGTTGGATTGTGGGAACATGTCTGTCTTACATGCCTCAGAACCCTTATACTCATATTAAACATATAGTAGGCATTTGATTATTAACTATTCCATGAATGTAGAGATTGATTTTTTTTACTGTTAATAGAGCTTCTCTTTTATTAAATATAACAGACAAAAGAAAATCACGTATAGCACAATGAATTATCACAAAGTAAACATATCCACTAAACCCTAACCCAGGTCAAGAAATTGGACATCAAATGCACCTTCATGAGCCCTCTCTCATTGCTCCCTAATTATTCCCTCTGCTCCTCCAGAGTTAGGCAGTATTTTAACTTCTAATAACAAGGATTAGTTTTGCCTGTTTTGTTACTTTATACAGTGCAATCATACACATGTGTTCTTCGGTGTGTGGCTTTTTTAGCTCCATATGTATTTTTATAAGATTTATCGAAGTTGTTGAATGTGAATGTACTTCTTATTTTCATTGCTTAATAATTTTCCACTGTATAAATATAACCTGGTTTACTTAAAAAAAATCCCCAATGTATATCAATAGGAAAATAGATAATAAATTTTGGAAACATACTTAGAAAGAATAAAGAACTATTGATAATAGCAAAAACAGGGAGATTCTGAATGAAATAAACTAGACAAAAAGTAATATGCATTGAAAATTCTTTTTTTTTTGTACTCCCTAGTACAAATATCCAGGGGTGCTCTACTGCTGAGCTACATCCCCAGCCCTTTTATTTTATTTATTCATTTATTATTAATTTTTTTTTTTTGCTATCAGAGATGGAACTCTTGGGAACTCAACCACAGAGCCACAGCCCCAGCCCTCTTTTGTATTTTATTTAGAGATAGGTCCCACTGAGTTACTCAGGGCCTCGTTAAATTACTAAGGTTGGCTTTGAACTCCCAATTCTCCTGTTTCACCATTCTGAGCCGCTGGGATTACAGGTGTGTGCCACCATGCCCAGTTTAGTTTTTATTTTGAAACAGAGTCTGGCTCAGTTCCCCAAGTTTACCTCAAACTTGCGATCCTCCAGCCTCAGCCTCCTGAATATCTGGGATTACAGACACTGCCACCACCTCCCAGCAGATTCAGTTATATTTAAAGGTAGAAAGTTATAAACCAGGTGAATCCTAGTAAAGGTCTTAATAAAAAAATAATAAAAATAAAAGCACTATGCTTGGTCATAATATGGTAAGTCAGAAAATGACAACAAATATCCATTTTCTGTCAGGTTGACCAGAACAGTATCATTTCTCAATGGATTTCAAAGGGTCTCCTTCCTTCTTTCCCTGCCCTCCCTCCCTCCCTCCCTCCCTCCCTTCCTTCCTCTCTGAGTTTTGGCGTGTGTGTGTGTGTGTGTGTGTACATCATCTTCTGTGCCAGTGTAAGAGGTTTAGGCAATGGATCAACCTTTACACCTGTGCCTAAGGACCCCAATCTTGGATCTATCTCCAAGGGTGGAGGTGATTCTAGCTCCTCATTATAATCTCGAGAGTGGGAACTCCTAAAAAAATAAATAGGTCTTTCTTGGTAACACCAGTTTCCTCCTTGGTAAGAGTTAGTGTAATGGGAGGGTGGCAAGGGCCCTACCCTGCTGCAAAATAAATGCTAAAATGTATTTTGGTACAAATTGTAAACATTAAAGAGTTAAAAGTAAGAGATGAGTCTTGGGATTTGAGCTAGACCTGGGTAAGTACATAGGATTCAGATTCTAAAAAGAGAATAAAAGGCAAGTGAATTAAACAGCATAAGAAAGACTCAGCAGAAAGAAGTATGTTTAAAGGACAGTAAGGACACCTCATTTTGCTAAGAGGAAAGGATTCTATAAAGGAAGACATATTTGTGTGCTTAGGTCAGATTATGAAATTCCTTGAAAATCAAGCATAAGGATTTAGACTTAATTGAATAAAAATGCAGAAAGTATTAGACTTTAAGTAAAGGGATCATATAACTTAAGTGGAATTTAAACAAGTATCTTGTCCTTAAATCCAGGGAAGATGGAGGTTTAGGCTGGGCATGACCAGTAGGGCTGAGGCATTCCCCACAATTAAAAAGTCATGTTGAAGTGTACTGTACTAATGGAAGTGAGTCATATACAAGGCAAGGTCTTCTGCCAGCATCTACTGTTTATCTAGCCCTGACAAATATTATTCCACTTTCAACTGTACAAAGAAAGAAACTCAAACATCTGAAATTGCCACTAATATATGGCATGTATATGAGTTCCTGTTTCTGGTTCTGCCTAATTTACCTTGGCATTCTTTCTATGGAGGTCAAATATTTGGTGTGTTGAAATAAATGCAGAACAGATATATTGGGGACATGTGGCCTGTACATCTCAGTTTCCACAGTGCACTGTTGGGCTTTATCCATTTAGTTTTCAGAAATATAAATTACTTCCTTACCGGAACAACAGCAGAAGTAAGGAATATAGCCAAAAGGATTGTAGTAAGAGTCAAAAGTCTAATTGTGTGACTATAGGCAAATCATTAAATTTTCTGAGTCTCAGATATTTCATCTATACAAATATGGGTCAAAGTTAAAAATTTTATAGTTCATTTTTTAAGAAGAAAATGAGATAATATATGAAAGATTGCCCATTTATGTGGCTTAAATAATTATACAGCAAAATCCTGGCTGTTACAGCCAATATAGACAATTGACAAAGCAACAAAAGTCTTGGCAATAAATGCTTTCATCACTAAGGAGACATTTTTAGATAGTGCCTACTCTGGAAACTGTCCTCTTCTCACTGAAACAAAGTAAGGCTGATAACATCCTCCCAAAGTGTGCTTGGAAGATCACAAGCACCTCTTGGAGGAGACAGGGAGAGTGGAGGAGAAAATATGTTCTTCGGGATAACATATAGTCTACCAGAGCATACATTGAAGCAAAGCAAGCCCTCCTGAATCTTCAGCATTTTAATTGATGCATGCAGTATAAAATTAGAAACAGGGGCTGGGGATGTGGCTCAAGCGGTAGTGTGCTCGCCTGGCATGCGTGCGGCCCGGGTTCGATCCTCAACATCACATACAAACAAAGATGTTTTGTCGGCCTAAAAAACTAAACAATAAATATTAAAATTTCTCTCTCTCTTTCTCTCTCCTCTCTCTCTCTCTTTAAAAAAATAAAATAAAATTAGAAACAGGACCATAAACACTATTATGAACACTATACTCAGTGGGGGACACTGAACAAACATACATGGGAAAGTAAGTTCTCTGCGATTAGTATGAAAAGCTCAGCCTTACCCAAATGCACATGAAATTTGAAATGGTTTGGAATACATAAGAGGACCAGTGAATGACATCAAACCCAAATGATGAAATAGAGAATCTGAACATGATCTTTCTCTTATTTCTCACTGATCCCTTAGAACCACCAATAGAAATATAATATTAACTCTACATGTAAATTAAATTTTCTAGAAGTCATATTTTAAAAAGACAGACGAGCTTCATTTAATAATGCATTTTACATAATTCAATATATTCAAAATGTCATTCTTTTAACTTGTAATCAAAATAAAAATATAACTGTTATTTTACATTCTTCACAATAAGTCTTTGATATCTGACTTATGGCACATCTCAGTTCAAACTGGGCACATTTAAAGACAGTCACAGCATAAGAAAGTAGGGATTGTAAATTAACACTAGGCCATACCATATACTTGCACTTATTTTAAAGAAAAGTCAAGTTTAAAAGTATTGTTAGGTTTTAAAATATTTTTGGCCAACCTCTCTTGGTACTTACGCAGAAGTGAGAAAAGATGATTGAAGGTGTCTCAACATCCCTCTTTTTTTTTTTTTTTTTTCACTGAGAGGTTAAGATTTCTGTTGCAATAGCTAGGGATTGCATTGTCATTTCAGATGAATCTCAAGTCTGTAATCAAAAAGTGTAAGTCATCATTAGGTTCCTATACTTGTCATTCTTTTATTATTTTTCATTGTTATCTTAAATATATTTACTTCTTGACAAACATAAAGAAATAAAGAATTATATTTAAATGGATAATAAAACAATTTGATTGCATAAAATCCCTTTTCGTTTTAGGTAGACCTACTGGTACAAACGAGTCACCTGGGTGGTCTATTTTTCTTTGGTAACAGGGATTAAACTCAAGGGCTTTAGACCACTGAGCCACATCTCCAGCCCTACATTGTATTTTATTTAGAGATAGGGTCTCACTGAATTGTTTAGGGCCTTACTTTTGCTGAGGCTGGCTTTGAACTCACAATCCTCCTGCCTCAGCCTCCAGAGCCACTGGGATTACAGGCATGCATCACTGCACCAGGCACCTGCTCTGTTCTCTTACTTAACTGCAACTGTGTTTTCCTTGCTGTTAAGTAAGAGACCTTGGTAGATTGCTTCTTTGCACCAGGGTTTCTTGATAGAACTCTATTGGTACTTTGGTTTGGACTGTTCCTACTAGCTGAAGGTTATATACTATCCATGGGCCTGGCCAAATAATGTTAGTAGTTTCCTCAGTCATGGTGAAACAACAACAAAATGCCCCCAGGCATTTCTAAACTTCTCTTGATAAGACTAGAATCACTCTCCCAGTTTGAGAGTCACTGCTTGAAACTTTAGTTAAACTCTGATCATTTAACAAAGCACCTTTAGTTGTAAGTATCCTATATTTTGTAGTTTGCAAGTATTCTGTATTTTGTAATTTCTCTTATCAGCTAAAAAGAAAGGATTATAAAATCAACATTTAAGGCCCGGTTTCATGATGCACACTGTAATCCCAGTGGCTCTGGAGGCTGAGGCAGGAGGATCTTGAGTTCAAAGTCACCCTCAGCAATTTAGCAAGGCCTTAAGTAATTTATGGATTCCCTATCTCAAAATAAAAAAAAAATGTAAAAAAGGGCTGGTGATGTGGATCAGTGGTTAAGCACCTAGATTCAATCCCCTGTGCCCATCCTCCACAAATCAACATTTTAAAAACCAGAAGCACTAAAACATCAAAAAAACCCAAAGGCCCTTGTAAACACAACTGACTTTGCTTCAAAGGTTTTTTGCTTTTTGTTTTCCACTTCAAGTTAACACTACCTTTAAAAAAAAATCACATTTTTGAATTTATTTTTTCTGACCTCTAAGAGGGATCTTACATTTTTCTACTTCCCTTTCCAAGACTATTTCCTCTTTTGCACTGTGTAATCTTAAATTTAAATCTGAATTAGTTGCATTGATTTTCCTTTGTGTTAATAGTCAAATTACGATACAATTTGAATTATTGAAATGCATATGGAGGGGTTTCTTTTCTTATTTTTAATGAAAACTCATGTTTTTAAAATTAGCACCTAGGGGACTATAGGTGGAGACTTAATATGTAGAGTCATCAGCATGATAATTGTAATTAAATAAACACAAATCAGTTCATGCTAGCTGATTTCATTTACCATTATAATCAGCTTTCTCCTCTATAAAACAGCACAATTAGTCCTAAATTGACATTCACTAATTGTATATTAGAGTTTCAAGGAAAACAATGAAGAGTTAGTGACTATCATAATGATTGAGATGTGTTTTGACATCAGTAATTATTATTATTTTTAAGATGGGGGTCTTGGTATGTTGCCTAACCTGATCTCCAACTCCTGGACTCAAGCAATCCTCCTGGCTTGGTCTTCTGAGTAGTTAGGACTACAAGTCACCAAACCAGCCTAGTAATTATTGTTTAGTAGATCTCTTTTTGGACACTAAAATCACTACTAATATGATTGTATATGTTTGAAATTGATTTTATGAGCAACATAAAGATTTGATGCAATTCCCATCAAAATACCCATGAATTGGTGTGAATATAATTTGTATACAACCAGAGATATGAAAAATTGTGCTCTATATATGTAATATGAATTGTAATGCATTCTATTGTCATATATAAATTTAAAATAATAATAATAATAATAAATTTCATTTTTCCAGAACTAGAAAAAACAGTCCTGAAACCCATTTGGAAGAATAAAATATTCAAAATAGCCAAAGCAATTATAAGTCAATAAAGCAAGCTGGAGGCATCATCACAATACCTGACTTCAAATTATACTACAAAGCTATTGAAATAACCACTGCAAGTCTCTGTCATAAAACCAGATACATAGACCAATGGGAAAGAAGAGAAGACACAGAAAAAGATCCAACACAGTTAACAGTCATCTGATCCTTGACAAAGGTGCCAAAAACATATTGGGAGAAAAGACAGGCTTTTAAACAAATGGTGCCAGGAAAATTGGTTATCCATATGTAGACAAATACGACTAGACCCTGTACAAACTTGAAAGAGATCAAAAGCCCAGGAATTAGACCAGAAACTATGCAAATCCTTGGAAGAAAATATAGGTTTGAGACTCCAGCATATAGGTACAGGCAATGACTTTCTTATTAGAATTCCTAAAGCTCAGAAAATAATGACAAGAGTTAATAAACAGAATGGCATCAAATTAAAAAGCTTCTGCACAGCAAAGGAAACAAATAGTAACATGAAGAAAGAACCTACGGAATGGGAGAAAATATTTGCTAACTACTCTTTTTTTTTAAAAGAGAGAGAGAGAATTTTTTTTAATATTTATTTTTTAGTTTTCGGTGGACACAACATCTTTGTTTGTATGTGGTGCTGAGGATCGAACCTGGACTGCATGCATGCCAGGCGAGCGCGCTACTGCTTGAGCCACATCCCCAGCCCTGCCAACTGCTCTTTTGACACAGGATTAATATCCAGACTATATAAGAAACTTTAAAAAACTTAACACCAAAACCTCAAATAACCTAGCTTAATTGGGCAAATGAATTAAACAGACACTTCTCAAAAGAAGAAATAAAAATGGACAACAAATCTATGAAAATATTCAACATCATTAGCAATTAGGGAGATGCAAATCAAAACTACAGTGAGCTTTTATCTCTAGTCAGAATAGCAGGCATCAAGAATATGAACAATATGGGGCTGGGGTTGTGGCTCAGCAGCAGATCGCTTGTCTAGCACGTGCAAGGCCCTGGGTTCGATCCTCAGCACCACATTAAAATAAATAAATAAAAATAAAGGTATTGTGTCCAACTACTTAAAAAAATATGAACAATAATAAATGCTAGAAGAATGTGGAAAAGAAGGGACACTTTTTTCTCTGTTGATAGGATTGTAAATGAATATAACCACTATTGAAATCAGTATGGAGGTTCCTCAAAAGACTAGGCAGGAAACCACCATATAACCCAGCTATACAACTACTCAATGTTTATCCTAAAGAATTAAAGTCATAATACTAGAGTAGTACATGCATACCCATGTTTATAGCAGCACAATTCACAGTTGCCAAACTATGGAACCAAACTAGGTGCTTATCAAGGATGAATAAATAAAGAAAATGTGGCATATACACAGAATGGAGCTTTATTCAGCCATAAAGGTGAATTATGTCATTTGCTGGAAAACGGATGAAACTTGAGAACACTCTGTTACACAAAATAAGCTAAACTCATAAGGTCAAGGGAGCATATGTTTTCTCTCGTATGTGGAAACAAGAGAGGAAAAAGGAAAAGAAAAGTGAAAATCAAAAGATCAATAGAGTGTAGGAAAGGGACCAGGAGAGGGAGGAGTGAAGGGAAAATACTGGGGAATGATATTGGCCAAACTGTAGTGTTATATTGTGCATGTGGAAATATGTAACGACAAATACTGCCATGATTTACGACTGTAATGTATCAACAAAGAAATGGAAAAAATAAAAGAAAGCAAACAAAAAGAACAAAATTGCCTTCATGTATGTATGTATATATACAGCCTAGCCAAACATCTGTTGTGAGCATAAACATTAATGAATACTCTGGAACAGTGATGAGCAAATCACAGCTGTCAGCCTGACACTGTTTTTTTTTTTTTCATTATTCTCTTTATTGCTTTTTTCTCTTTCTTTCTTTCCTCCCTCCGTCCCTCCCTCCCTCCCTTGCTTCCTTCCTTCCTTAAGTAATCTTCCTGCCTCAGCTTTCTGAGTAGTTGCAAGCACACCAAGGTGTCCAACAATAACACTTGCTTTTGTAAACAAAGTTTTATTAGAACACAGAAGCTTATATTATTTACCCACAGTCTAGGCTGTTTTTGTGCTACACTGGCACTTGAGTAGCAATGAAGACTTGCCTACAAAGTCTAATATATTTATTATCAGTCTCTTTTCAGGAAAAGTTTGTTGATCCCTGATTAGATTATAGATTAAAGTCAGCAGAATAAATACATAAACATTTCTTTTCTTACAACTAAAATTGGCTGTATGAAATGAGATAAATGATCTGTTAGTTGCCAAGATAAATGTCTCTTCCCTATAGAAAGTGTGTATTCAGGACTAGAAATCTTGGCACTGTGTCATGTCAAATGTAGGAAAAAACCTGGCAGCTCATTTTGATGAGACTTAAGAAATTTATTTTCCAGGGCATTTTGAGGTCTAAACTTTGTAGATAATACAGGGAAGAACATTTTAATCTGCAAATAGATTATGTTCATTATTAGTTTGTAATCATTTCACAACTATCATATAATATTAAAGCATCATAACAGACTGTCTATTGGATTGTAATAGAAACTTTTATGACTCTAGCCATTAACTTGTATTTTTCTAGTTACTGTAGACCCATACTTTATTTAAGTCTGATTGCCTTACTGATTTTGACCAGTTTATTTTTCAGATATCCATTTTGGGGTTTACTCTTTCAATTAATTTTGGGTCCCATGGGCAATGAAATTGTTGAGTATGTAAGATGTTGCAGTTTCTATGTAAGTTCACCTAAGTGTCTCTACCACTATTGATGGGCAAGGATATAAGTAATTTAGTACTTTTACTTGAAACTATTATAGATCAACTGTACTGGATTTGTTTTCCTGACACAAAAGAGTATAAAACTAGAAACACTAAACATTTTCAGGTATTAATTTCAGACATGACTGTAGGCCTGGTGCACAAAACACACTTAATTAGGGGGATGAAGCTCAAGTAAGATGGTGGTCATACTGAGTTAAGGAGAAAATTATCAAAGTGCAAGATTATCATAGTGGTTGGAATTTTGTGGACAAGAATGTCTGAGCTATGTATGGTGTATGCAATGTGATTATGTGTGTGTGTGTTAGAGAGAGAATACTAAAAACCTGGAGGAAATTCATTTTTGATATGAATGTACCAGATGAGACTCTTTAAGGCTTAGCAGAGTTTGACTGCTATAAAGGAGACTGAAGATGATGCTAAATGGCAATGTTGGAAGAAATTAGGTTCCCAGCAGAGTCAGGTTGCAGCAGCTTCACTAGTATATCAGGTACTTAATTAAGAGTTCAGAAATAAGCCTTAGCAAAAAGAACCACACACAAAAGAGTAAAGGGAAAATGGTAGACCTAAATTTGAAACCAAAATTGATTCATGCTAAAAATGTATGTGGCAGCCAGAAAGGAAAAAGGAAAAGAAAGGTGTGTGTGTGTGTGAAAGGAATCTCACGACAATCAAAGGGAGATCAGTAGAATAGAGGAAAGGGATCAGGGGAGAGAGGAAAGCAGGTAAAAGAGAAATACTCGAGAAAGATATTGGCTAAGTTTTATCACTATATTGTACATATGTATGAAAACATAACAACAAATCCCACCATTATGTACAAGTATAATGCACCATTGAAATATGGAAAAAAAGAAAAATACCAAACCTAGCCAGGCGCGGTGGAATATGCCTATAATCCCAGTGACTGGGGTGGATGAAGCAAGAGGATCACGAGCTCAAAGCCAGCCTTAGTAAATCGAGGTGCTAAAGCAGCTCAGCAAGACCCTGTCTCTCAGTAAAATACAAAATAGGTCTGGGGATGTGGCTCAGTAATTGAGTACCCTGAGTTCAATCTCTGGTACCAAATAATAATAATAATAATAGTAATAATAATAATAATAATACCAAATCTAATATGATCAAAACAATTTACCAGTAATTAGCCTGCATGACACATAAAACAGAATATCCTTTATAGGAAGACAACATAATCCAGACTTCCTATGATGTGTCATCTATAAATGACCAGAATATAATTAAAAAAATTTTTTTGGTACCAGGGATTGAACCCAGGGGTGCTTAACCATTGAGCCACAACCTCAGCCCTTTTTTTGCATTTTATTTAGATACAGGGTCTCATTGAGTTGCTAAGTGCATCCCTTAGTTGCGGAGGCTAGCTTTGAACTCTTGATCCTCCTGCCTTAGCCTCCTGAGTCGCTGGGATTATAGGCATGTAGAATATCATTAAATTTTGCCAGAATGCAAAGAAGATAGAAAAATGAGAACAAGAGAAAATATCACATATAAAAAAAGTTCCATGAGCTGACCCAGATGTTAGGATTAGCAGAAAAAAAATTTAAATAGTTTTTATAACTAATTTCAAGGAGTTAAAGAAAAGCTTAATCATAATGAATAAGTAGATATGGGTGTCACTATATAAATGAAAAATTTCTTTTAAAAGAAATAAAAAGTATAGTATTTGAAATGAAAAATTCATGAAGCAAATCTATCATCAGATTGTATAGTGCAAAAACAACAAAAAGTTAACTTGGAGATAGACCAATAAAAATTATCTGGTCTAAAAATCAGAAAGAAAAAAATAGAGACGTGGTTACTATCAGTACAAAGTGACCTAACATACATATAATTAGATTTCTAAAAGAATAGAGGCATAAGTTGTACAGAAAAAAATATTTAAGATAATGATGGCTAAAATTATCCCAAATTAACAAAAAAGATGTTAACAGATTTAGGAAACTCAGTGGATACAAAGGTTAGTTACAAAGAAAATCACATCTAGATGCATCAGAGTCCACTGTAAATAATCAATTAGGAGGAAAAAGGTCTTGAAGGCAATTAGAAAAGAGTGGTGTGTTATGCATTGGTAAAAATGACTAAAATAATAGCTGACATCTTATCAGAAATGAGAGGTTAAAGTTAATGGAAAGGTTTAAGGTGCTAGAAGACAAAAACTGCTAATCCAGGATAAATACTCTTCAAAACTGAAAGCAGAATAGACATTTTCAAATAAATAAAAAGTAAGAAAATTCAATACCAATAGATATCTACTATGAACAATGCTAAAAGAACCTCTTCAGGATAAAAGGAGATGATCCACCAGCTAGAAACAGATGCACTGTGTGTTTTAGTTCACTGTGTAATAAACTTAATGATTTAAAATAAAAATTCTTTGTTATTTCTCCTTATTCTATAATTTGGCATTACATAACCTGATGGGTCCTTTGCTCTAGGTATTTATTACTGCTTATGTGGTTTCCTTTAGCAGGGATTGTTTAACCAAAGGTAGAACTGACAAAATAGCTTCGTTTACATGTCTGCTAGCTCAACTGGTTGGGTCAGGCTTTTCTCCTCAAATGCTTTTAGTCATTCAGTCATTCTAAAATTTTTTATTTGTTGATTGGATTCCTAGAGGATAAAAGTAGAAGGTATACACCTTCCCAAGGTGTTAGGTCTTGGATTGGCATGGCATCACTTTCACCAAAAATATATTTTGTTCATTAAAACAAGACAAAATACCAGCCCAGACTCAGCAGGTAGGAAAATAGATATTACTTCATAATGAGAGAAGCAACATGATACAGGAATGTGAAGAATTTGGGGTAGATATTTTTAAAGACAATGCACCATAAACAGAAATGAAAAGTACTAGAAATAGTAAAATGTAGGTAAATATAAAAGGCAATATGTATACATATTTATTCTTTTAATTTCTTGGAAACATGACTAAGGTAAAAAATGTATACAGCTGTAATATGTATGACGACAAAGCACAAAAGACTTGGGGAGATGTGAGAAAGTATCACAATTTAAACTATGAAAACTGTGATAAATTAAAGAATGCATTTCATAATTCCTGGAAACATTGCTAAAACAATAATGTAAAGCAATACAGCTAAAAGCAAATGGATAAATTAAATAAAATTTAATTTTTATTTAATGTAATTTTATTTAATTACATTAAATAAAAATATGAATAGAACGAAAACAAGAAATAGATAATAGATAAAAATACATCATGAATAGTAAGCCAATAAGAATGCAGAGGCTATACTAACATCAGATGAATTTAAATTCAAGATAAAGAGTTTTATAAGAAATAAGAAAGACATTTCATAATATCATAATGTGTTTTTTAAGAACACAGAAACATGACACCATACAACCAAACATTTATATGCCCCAAATATATGAAAGCTGACAAAACTGAAGAGACAAATCCATACTTTGAATTTTTAACACACTTTTAATAACTGACAGTAACACTATAAAAAAATCACTAATGATACAAGAGTCTGAACAAAACTATCAACCATCTTAACCTTATTGACATTGACAGACAATACCCAACAACTCCAGAATATATATTCTTTTCTAGTCCTCATGGAAATTTGCAAGATTGATTATTTTGCCAGTTTCAAAAAATTTTAAATATTGAATTTCAGTTTGTTTTCTGATCACAGTAGAAATAAATGGGGTATTCTTTAATAAAACTGGTCATTAAATAAAAGCCCTGCAAATCATCAATAAACAGTATTTTAGTTATCTATTGCTATATTTTTAAAAATTCCAAAATTTAGTAGCTTTAAAAAAATAACCATTTGCCTGGAGTGGTGGTGCACACCTGTAATTCCAGTGGCTCAGGAGGCTGAGGTAGGAGGATCGCGAGTTCAAAGCCAGCCTCAGTAATGGCGAGGCACTAAGCAACTCAGTGACACACTGTCTCTAAATAAAATACAAAATAGGGCTAGGGATGTGGCTCAGTGGTCGAGAGCCTCTGAATTCAATCCCCACTACCAAACAAACAACCATTTTATTTATCATAATTTTGTAAGTCAAGACTTTAACCAAGGTTCTGCTCTAGTGTCACCTAGGCTCACTCATACAGCGAACGCCTGATTTAGACTACAAGGTCTGAAATGGCTTTTTATGTCCCGAACTAAGGTGCTGACTGTTGGCTTCATGTAGTCTCCCTTTCCATGTGGTCTTTCATATGTCAGGGGCTTTCTTCATATGGACTCTCCCTCCAGCAAGATAGCCTGGGCTTCTTTACAGTGTGGCACAGGGTACCAAAGAGAAGAAAAAATGAGTTTGTGCCTTTAAAGGATACAGTCAGTCCTTCCTCAAGTCTCAATCTTGGGTAGGATCTTGGTCCATGCATTTTGGGGGAATTTATAGTTGGATGACATTTTAATCTACATTACTATGTGAAATGTCTTTGTTTTTATGATTTCATTTTTGCTACATTGTTTCTTTTCCATACAATTAACTACAATATAGGATAACCTATTAATGATAATGTCTCTTCAATTGGTTGTGTGAAGCTTGCTCTATAGTAATTTATACAGAAAGGACTCATGGGAATAATATTCTCTAAATGACAATTTCCTGATTTAAAACATATAATTTGTAGCCAGTACAATAGTGCATGCCTATAATCCTAGCTACTCAGGAGGTTGAGGTAGGAGAATGGTAAGTTTGAGGAGAGCCTGGGCAACTTGGTGAGACTCTGTCTCAAGAAAAACAAAAACAAAACAAACATTAAATGAAACTGCAGATGTAGCTCAGTGGTAGAGCACTTCTCAGTTCAATCCTCAGTGCTGGGGGAGGGGGGAAGGTCATTCATCACCATACTAAGATACACCTTAGAGAAAAGTAATTGCAAGAACATTGTTCTCCTCCCTTGGGATATGTGTTTTTTTTTTTTTTCTAGATTGGAATCTAGAAAGACTTTTGTGTGCTTTGTGCTCTCATTATGGTTATGTGGCTCTTTAAATCTTGTTCATGCAATTGCATGTAATATCATAGATTTTTTTTTTTTTTTTGGTGGTGCTGGGGATTGAACCCAGAGCCTTGTGCATAGGAGGCAAGTACTCTTCCAACTGAGCTATATCCCCAACCCCAGTGGATTTTTTTTTTCCTTTAGAGGGGAATCTCTTCTCAACACATTTTGTGCCAGATTGTACTTGAGAAAGGGAAGTGATATGTACAGCATGGAACGATATTAGTTTCTAATTTTCCCATTTTTTTACCTTTTTTAAAAGTTTATTTATTTTTAATTCTAATTTGTTATATATGACAGCAGAATGCATTACAATTCATATTACACATATGGAACACAATTTTTCATATCTCTGGTTGTACACAAAGTATAGTCACATCAGTTGTGCCTTTTTTTATTAAGAGAGAGAGAATTTTTTAATATTTATTTTTTAGTTCTCCGCGGACACAACATCTTTGTTTTTGTATGTGGTGCTGAGGATATAACCTGGGGACCCAGGTATGCCAGGCGAGTGTGCTACCGCTTGAGCCACATCCCCAGCCCCTAGTTGTGTCTTTATATGTGTACTTAGGGTAATGATGGTAATCTCATTCCACTGTCTTTTCTATCTACTATTTAGATGTGTTTGAGAACTTCAAGAAAAATCAGAAAAACTCTCCCCTATTTTCATGAGAGCATGAATTTTTAGCCATATAAAATCTGTCCTGATGGGTTTTGGTTATATTTTTATACCTCATGAAAAGGGAAGAAATTAAATTAATTAATTAAAACAAAAGATGGGATTTAAGATAAATCTCCCTAGTACAAGTAATTCTGGTTTTCCTATATCTCATTCAACATTTTCCTGAATGTACCCAGATACACTTAACATTTCTTCCCTGAGGGATAATTAACACTGTCACATACTTTGACAAGTTTATACATACATACATACACACACACACACACACACACACACACACACCGTACCAAAAGCCATAATTAAATAATTGCACCTGGAAGTAGCAAGCATAAGGTTTCAAAGGTCTCATGCAATATTAACCCACAAATTCTAAATGTACTTATGATTGTGGAATCCCATTTTTAATTACAACATAAATTAACAAATCTAAATAATACAACTACCATAAAGCTAAAATTCTCATTTATGCAGCTATGAGTTAAAAGAAATATAATACCACAATCTATTGCATTTTCTGGCATGAAAGCAAAAACACAATACAAATTTAGGCTTTTCTATCAAAATTACAAGAACTAACCTTCTACCCAGAAGAATCCAAAGACACAGAAAAGCATCTGCATTATTTTACATATGAGGTATATGGAAAAAAGTCTCTCCCCAAAGTAGTAAGAAACAACTTCTGATTTCCTAAGAAACTTGTATTTTACATTTGTTTTTTTCCTGAATCACTTACGCAGCCACAAAGAAACTCAGATATTAAAGAACTAGAGAAGTTAAAAGATGTCCTTTTCAATAGCCAACAGTCACCAAAGACTGTGACAAAAGAAAATAGATATAAGTATTCCATGTTACTATGCACAAGCAAGCCCAAAGTTTTACTGCTTCACTAGTTAAATCACTAAATGTTAAGCATTATTTCATGAACTTAAATGAAATCTGGTATATAAAGAGAAAAAATACGCGAGAAGTGAAACTTACTTTCTATTTCACAGAAATATTATTATTATTTTAGATTATTTTACTCCATCTAAAATAATCCTGTGACCTTGTGGAAACAGTCCTGGGTTAAACACTTAAAGAACATTCCTTTACCAAATGTACCAGTACATTACTGCTCTGAAAGCATTCAATATGTCTACTATGTTCTCTAGATGTATATTCATACACTGGTTTAAGCCATTTGCAGAAAATCAACAGAAACCCTTAAAAACGTTTGACCTGACATGCAACTTTAAGACATGTGAGTTTTAAATTGACAGATCTTTACATCTTTCGTAATGGAAATTATCAGAATATACTCTGAAAGTTAAGTGATTCTTCCACAGAGCAAATTTAACTTGACCTCCTAAATGGTACAAATTTGACACACCATTTAGAAGGCTAAAAGAAATACTGATTTACTTCTTCTCTAAAGCAATACTGTTCAACGAAATTATAATGCAAGTTACACACGTAATTTTGAATTTTCTAATATCTATGCTAAATGATAAAAAATACAATTTTTAAATCACTTACTAAACATGCCAAATATTATTTCAAGATGTAATAAATATCATTAAAATATTTATTCTTTTACAAATTGTACTAAGTTTTCAAAATCCAGTATGCATTTCACACTTTCAGCATATCATATTTTCAACTAACCACAACAACCTGGTCCATAGTCAGAATGTGGCTAGTGGCTACACTATTGAGCAGTATACTTTTTAAGTAATATTTTGAGATCTGACATACCACTCTGTTTATAATTAGTTCACATTCATGTCTCCTTTTTAAACTGAAATGGCTGCGACTACAAATATAAGCAAAACTGTTAATTCACTGGATAAATCAGGATCAGATCCCCCTTATCTGGGGATGTGGTTAACACACACAATAAGTAGCAAACGGATTATTCCTTATTATGTCTCAAGTAGACTTCAGAGATGGTGCTGATCAACATGAGCAAACACAATTTGTACCAAAAACACAGGTTAAACACCAAAACATTTTTATATCAAATCATAGCACTGCCTTAATTCTAGCATCCCTTCCCCTCTCATTCTTGAGCACATACTTCTATGCAATTTATTTATAATATTGCTCTCTAAATTTGATAAATTTTGTCAACCATACAGTCACCATTCAAAAATAAACAGAACACTATATAAGACACAAATGAAAAAAAAAAAAAAAAATCAACCAGCTACTTTTAATACAATTTGTCAACCAATCTTAAATTCTGAGTTCCACTGAATTTGATTCTTCTCACAATTCCAATTAATTTACTGCTAAGAATTTTCCCAAGTCATTAGGATATTTGCTTAAAATGTAAATAATTCCAACTATGTGTTTTCTAGAAAATAACAACTACAACCATAGCTTAGCACATAAAATTTGTCCTTTAGGCAAGTTACTGAATGAATCAAACAGAAACAACTATACTCCTGTTTAATGCTTTTACATTTTGTAACACCATATTCAACAATTTCTAAATTTGGAAAATCAGTTCAGATTGCACACAAGCACTAACTTGAAAACTTAAAACCTTACAGGTTTCTACAAAATACTTGTGAATAAATGTATTCCACAGAAAAACAACAGAAAAATCAACACCACTCAAATCTCAGCAAGAAGCACAAGATCAGTATATTCATAAGTACAGAATATATGATACATGCTAAAGAGTATTTTCTCCTAATTTAACTTAATTCACCTAGGCAATTTTTGTTTAAAGCACTTGCAAAGCTTTAAGGAAGCAAACATAGCTAGCTAGCCTCTTCTGCTGCACATACATACAAGGATAATACATTAATCTCCTGATATCGTTCCACAATTTAGAAATCAAAATAACAAAATTTGTTTCTTACCTGCAGTTAGGAGAGGATTAAGGGTTATTTCAGCTAGCTCCTTCTGAATTCTGTTAGTGAAATAGGAACAGACAAAAAGGATTTGAGACAGTCTACAGAATAACCAGAAAATCAGAATGCCCTCTACCATCATGCAGGTAAATGCAAGGCTGGTTTTGCCTTCAGTAATGCTAACATGGCTGCTTCCTCTTTGTTCTCAGAGGCATAACCCAAACTCCTTAACAGAAAATTTCAGCTTTTTTCTCACTTGCTACTGTAAATAGGTAAGTCATTTACACCTGATTTCAGAAAGTCCTCCACTACTACTCAACAAAAGGATATAAAATCTATTTTAAAACTCTTTTTACCAAAGAAATTCTCTTTTCAAGCTTATATGCAAACGAGACAAAACAGAAGGAGGAAAAGCACTAGAATATTTTTGACAATGACTTCAATCCACTTTTAGTGTGGTAAAAATTACAAAGCTATTGCAAGAGCACATTAATAGTTTTGTCAATATTTTATCTGTTTTAAAAAAAGTTTAAAATTTACAAATAACTTTACCAATGAAAAACTTCCAAGGACTACTTTAGCAATCTTACTTACCCATTTCTTTTCTCTGATCTTAGGTACAGCCCGTAAATGTAAATTTCTTACTCTTGGAGGAAAGAGGGCCTTGAGGTAAGGGGAAAAAGAGCATTTCTCTGATTTTCTTGAAACTTAAAATGTTTTCAAAAGTTGTTTATTGTTCTCTCCACAAGATTACAACACACTGAGAAGAATTTTAAAGTATTTCAAAGACTGCTGCTATTCAATATAATATTCTCAAGTTCATTAATGTTTGATTAACGGTGCAATGACGGTGAAAATGTATAGAAAAATAAGAACATGAATAAAATGCAATAATTGATCAGTTTTTATATTTTCTTTTTCTTTTAGTTGTGATCAATGAAAAACAACAAAACATCAACATTAGGTAATGCTATAGGTACATTTTATGTTTGATACAAGAGTTCTACTCAATACAACCACTATCACTAATGGAGTCCCATTGATGGATTTTTTTTTGCCATCAGAGAAAATAAAAGTCAGCAGGAAACAAATAATCTTTCACTTACAACCAACAAAATGTTTTTTCCTGCTGTTGTTTTTCACTACTATGTCAAGAACATCCACGAGTTTTAAAGATGTGCAAAGTTTTAACAGCAAAGTGACTCCTGAGATTGTTAATGGCTACTTTTCAGTTTTATTTGTTCTCACAAGAACAAGGAGGGATAACTATAACTACAAAAAAATTATACCTATTATGAAGGATTTAAAGACTTGTTTGTAAAACTAAGCAAATTTAAAATCTGCTTTCAAAAAAAGCCAAAGCCTGACATTCAACATTTTTTAGCAAATATAAACTTTTTTGATCATTTCCTTTCATGAAAAGTGACACATTTCCTTTTATGAAGCTGCCACCACAGATGCCTGGACTGACACCCACGTGGACACGTGCTAATTTCACTCAAGAGTATAACTCACAAAAGGAAACATCCCCAATGTACCATCTAATTCAGTTTCACAAATTTTCCTGGCCAACTCCTTCAACTGTCAGGATGAGAATTCAGTCTCTAGGACTCTTCCTGAAATTACCAAAGTACAGAATAAGTTTGTTTAGAAGCATAATTTTAGTGAGGACGTTTTCATGTCCCCTAAAGGATGACAATTCATTCAAGTACAAATAAAATTGGTCATGAAGTATTTCTGGAGTATTGTTCTTGATGTAAAAATAAAAGCATCCAATTGCTTGAAAGACAACCTGACAATGTTACCTTTTAGCACTAGTGGATAACTTAGCAGTGGTTTTGCTGGAGAGATTGGTGCTCTTCTTCTGCTGGGTGGCAGAAGGTTCTTTCTTCATGATCTTCAGGCTCTGGAGCAGCAGGGTCTTCCTGGTCCGAATTTGAACTGCCACTGCTGGTGCTGGGGCTGTCATCATCGGACATTTGCTTATCACTGGCCATTTGATGATGTTATCACTTGGAAAACTTTTTTAAAGAGAAAAGAGGGAAGAAATGTTAATCTAAGAAATCAATCAACAGCTTTTCCTTATCTTAATATCATTCCCAAATTGTATCTCTATAAAAAGACTTCAAAAGTGGGGAGGAAGAAGAGGAGCAGGAATAGGAAGAGGAGGGGGAGGAAGGGGAGGAGGAGGGGGAAGACGATGAGGAGCAGGAGGAGGGGAGCAGGAGGAGGGGGAGGAAGGGAAAAGAGGAAGGAGGAGGAGGAAGAGCAGGATGAGGAGGACCAGGAGGAGGGGGAGGAGGACAGGGAAGCCAGGAAGCAGGGCCAGCTCCACTCACCAGGGACAACAAGGCATAGCCCTAAAGACCTACTTCCTCCATCCCCCACCCCTGCCTGCAGTTACCACTGGATTAATCCACATCAGTGGGTTAACCCATATCAGTGGATCCCACCTGGCATCCCCACAGGTCTTCTAAACAAGGCACCCCCAAGACCCCAGCAGGGAGGATCCTTCTGGAAGTTATGGTTCTCTGGGGGCCACCAGCCCTGTGGAGCATGACCCCACATGGCTGCGTCCCCAGCAGGTCAGCGGGAGCCAGTGTACTGCCCACCCACCCTGCATGGGCACTTCATGGACCTGGCCAGTGTCTCCTTAAGCAGGTTCCATCGGCCAGCACTGGTGACATCTTGCGAAAACCCACGGCTCTGGGAATACACAAAGCTGGTCATTTTTGCAGTCTGCTGGGAACTTGGGTGACAGGTGACCTGAGAGCCAGACCTGAAACACGACTATCCTGCCCTCAGTGTGTGGGTGCGGCCCAGCAATGAGCCCCCAGCCTGGAACCCCACTTTCACCTGAACAGAGGATTATAATAACAACTGAACACAACAGCCAACGTGTATTGAGCACATACTACATCCAGGGCCAATGTGCTCGGCTCCGGCACCTTCAGCAAACCTCCGACGACCCATCTTTGTCTCCATTTTACGGATGAGGAAACTGGGGCACAGAGAGGCTCTGTGGAGTACTCAAGGTCACACAGCCCTTCAGAAACTCCGCCCCCCAGGGTTACACAACTAAGCTCTGCTCCCACCCTGGCCATCCTGGGGGTGGTGAAGTTGTCACCAGGGACCAAAACAAGAAGGGCACTAGGCCCTTGTCACTGTCCCCAAGGCAGACCCCAGGCCGCTGCAGGTCTACCTGAGCGCCATCATGGCACCAGGGCACGGCTTTGAGGGAACCTGAGCAGGAGGGAGGGAGGAGGGGACATCATGGAGCCCCACCAGACCTCAGCAGACTGGAGAGCGACTCACTAGCCAGGTCCAGCCAGGAGACCACCAGGCCATAGCCACTTTTTTTCTTGGTCCCGGAGATTGAACTCAGGGGCATTTAACCCCTGAGCCCCAGACCTTTTTATATTTTATTTAGAGACAGGGTCTCGCTGAGTTGCTCAGGGCCGCGCTCAGTGGCTGAGGCTGGCCTCCGACTTGCGATCCTCTTGTCTCAGCCTCCCAAGCCTCTGGGATGACAGATCTGTGCCACCACACCTGGCAGCCATACGCTCTTATGGCCTTGTTGAGGGACATCTGTGCCAGAGTGAGCCATGAGTGGGAGGGCCATCATCAGCTAAGGACACAGACAAGACGTGGCCACTGGGAGCCATGGTGCATAAAGGGATCTAGCCGGTGGCCAGCCACACATACAAATGACAATGCTCAGCGCAGAGGACATAGGAACCGGGCACAGCTGGAAAGCAGACCTTGGTGGGGGAGGGGGCCTCACAATGGGGAATGAATGAGCTGCCGGTGGTGAGGACCAGAGGCCTTGGAGGGAGGGCGGTGGGTGTCCTTAGCTAACCCTCCACGCTGGGGGTCAGGGCTGGCCCTGGGCTGCAAGGGACGCCTGGGATGGCAGCTGGGGCCACCAGATCAGCAGAGCTGCCACCAGAGCCCCTGGAAGCCCAAAGGGAACACAGCAGGGGCCTTCATCACTATCAGTGAAGTTGCTGAGGCTGGCCTCCAACTTGTGATCCTCCTGCCTCAGCCTCCCAAGCTGCTGAGATTACAAGCCCACACCACTGTGCCCAGAAGCTTTTATTTTTAAGAAGCAAGAGGGTAAGTTAGCACATGGCTCTGGGACTCAAGAGCCCCGGGAATGAACAGCCATGTGGCCACCCTGAGGCCACCCCTATCCCAACCCCACCATTCTTTGGCCACAGTTTCCTCATCTGTAAAATGCAGAGAACACCACCTGCCATGGTGGGTCACACAAAGACTGGTGAGGTTCTGGGCACATTTGAACTGACACAGCGACCCCATTCTAGGGATACACCCCAAAGAGCAGAAAGTAGGTTTTAAAGAGGGATATGCACACACAATCAGAGCAGTGTCATTCACAAAGCCAAAGTCCCCTGATGGAGGGACAAGCAATTTTGGGTGTGTATACACGATGGTAAATTATTTGGTCTTAAGAAGGAAAGAGTCAGGAATGGTGGCATATGCCTGTAATCCCAGTGATTCAGGAGGCTGAGTCATGAGGATCCCAAGTTGGAGGCCAGCCTCAGCAATTTAGTGAGTCCCTAAGCAACTTAGTGGGGACCTGTCTCAACATAAAAAAAAAATAATAATTAAAATGGCTAGGGATGTGGCTCAGTGGCTAAGCATCCCTGAGTTCAATTCCTCCTCCCCCCAAAAAAAAACAGGTGAAGCAGGAAAAAATCACACAGATTTATCACAATTCTTAAAAATTAAGCAACAGTCCTTTGGGGGGAAAAAAGTACCTGCACACAGTAGGTGCTCAACTAACACCCAGCCCCAGCCAGCCTCCCCGCTGCCCTAAGACAGAGAAACACGGAGGACAGTGTGAGCCCAGGGCTGGCCACACAGCTGGAGGAGGTGGCCGTCCCTCTAAGGCTCTCTGGTGGCCAAGCTGGTGTCCAGCCGTCAAGATCCATGTCCTCGTCCCTGCTCCTGACTGCCTGTGAGGCCAGTGTACAAACGCAGCTTCACAAGGCTTTGCACGATGTCATCAAAAGATTGGCCGGGTGGATATAAATAGCCCCGGAACTCTTGGCTTCTGAGCCGGTGGCGCAGCCAGGCCAGGTGACCCCAGCTGGCCTTCCTAGAAGCAAGCTGCCCTGCAGATCCGGAGCAGGGCCGAGCGGTCCTCCTCCAGGCTGTGCTCCCCGCCTGGCAGCCGCTGCCATCAGGTCACTGTCTGAGAACTCGCACTGGTCCCTAAGCACAGGTCTCAGCTGGGCTGCAGGACTGGCTTCCACGGGTCCTCGGACGGACAGGCAGAACGGGCAGCCCTGGGTGGCGGGGCAGGCAGATTGATCCCACAGCCCAAACTGTCACCATGTCTGCTGTCCCCACCTGGGCCATTTTTAATGGGAGGGAAGAGGGGGGGGATACTGGGGACTGAACCCTGGGGCACTCGGCCACTAAGCCCTGTCCCAGCCCTATTTGGGGTTTTATTCAGAGACAGGGTCTCATTGAATTGCTCAGGGCCTCACTGAGTTGCTGAGGCTGCCCTCCAACTTGCGATCCTCCTGCCTCAGCCTCCCCAGGTGCTGAGATGACAGGTAACAGGTGAGGCCACATGCTCTGGGTCACCAACGTCCACCCCAGTTCCTCTCCCACGGGCACACCCAGCTGACCTATCGGCATCCGCGCTTAGGACTCCTGATCAATTATTGATCTGGCTTCTGTTGGTTCAGTGAGTGACAGATGGGTGCTAGGAAGTGACTCTGGTGTCATGAACCCCCAGAGACCAGGAGTGGCTTCCCTGGGCCCCTGAAGGAGGGGAATGGACGAAGGTCACATCTTTTATTTATTTATTTACCTTCGTGTGGCTTGGTGGATGGAGCCCAGGAATCATGGGCTAGGTGAGCGCTGACCCGCGCCCAGCCCCGCCCAAGTTCACGAGCATCCAGCACCTAGCACTTGCTCCTGACCACACTGCCCAGGGTCCTCGACACAGGAGCTGACCACTGTGTTGCTATCGCTGATTTTTTTGCTTTTTCTTGGTCCTGGGATCCAGCCCAGGGCAGCGTGCACTGAGCCACCCCGGTCCCCATGCCCACTCCATCTGCTAGCCAGCCTCCTGCCACAGGAGGGAGACCCAAGTTAACCAGCTGCAAGGACGAAGGCTAATTTGGGCTCACAGGTTCCTGGACTTGGTCCAGGGTCCCCAGGCCTCCTGTTTGAGCCTGCGGGACAGCACCATGGCAGAGCCCCCTTCTGTCACACCTCATGCTCCCGCCAGGGCCACTATGCCCTTTGAAAGCACATCCCCAAGGACAGTCCTCTCACTAGCACCAACTCCCAGTAGTGCCCCAGAACGGCCACCGAGCCCTTAGGACATGGGCCTCTGGGGGCTTCTAAGATCCATGCTGGCTGCCCACAGTGGTATGGCTTGTCATCCCAGCGGCTCTGGAGGCTGAGGCTGGAGGATCGCAAATTGGAGGCCAGCCTCAGCAACATCGAGGCCCTAAGCAACTCAGGGAGACCCTGTCTCTAAATAAAATCCAAAACAGGGCTGGGGATGGGACTCAGGGGTCGAGGGCCCCTGGGTTCAATTCAGACCCCGTTTTCCCGAGTCTCCGCAGCGCCTTCCTCGCTCTCAGTGAAGACTGAAACGCTCCTTTCGCTCAATGACAGCGGCCTCCCGATGAGGCTGCTAATGAGTCCTCAGGGAAGCTGCGCGTGCTAATCACACACGGCATACAGCTTAGCGGGCGGGAGCCCGTCCCCAGCCCACAGCTGAAGCCTGGTTCCCCCCTTTCCCTCTCTCATTAACTAATAAACTGTTTGCTTTATCTGATGTCAAAACCTCCTCCTGAGAACCAGTCATTGGGAAAAACACTCAGAGACGTGTGCATCCAGCAGGCACAGCTGTGGACCTGCAGGGTCCGGAGGAGCAAGGACGGGGGGTTCACTCAGCCATGCCTTCCTGACCCTGGGCCTCAGTTTCCCCATCTATGCAATGGGAGGGTTGGACGGGGTCATGGAGTAGTAAAGTTTTACTTAGGGGGCTGGGGTGGAGGTCAGCAGTAGAGGCTCGCCTAGCACGTGTGAGGCCCTGGGTTCGATTCTCAGCACCGCGTGTAAATAAACAAGTAAGATAAAGGTTTGTGTCCATCGACAACTAAACATAAATTATTTAAAATAATTAGAATATATAAAGGCTCATCAGCAACTAACTCTATATAAAAACATCCTCAGGTAGGAGATGGGGGACACCTGGAGGACAGGGGCAATACGATGACACCCTTGAGCCGGGGACGGGCCTCCAGAGCGCCAGGCCTATGACCCAGTTCCCGCCTCCAACCGTGCAGGCCAAGTCCCCCGGGTGCCACCCAGGACACCCACATCAGGACCTGGAGAGACCAGAGTGCTGTGCTCGTTGCTTAAGCACCACCGGCTGTCACCTGGCTCTTGGGGCACGTGAGGCAGGAACAATGCCCCTTGGGTCAGAGAGGAGCCCCAGGTGACGGAGGAACCCGAGTCCCATAAATCGCAACTCAACAAATCTCTCTGGATCCCAGGCAGAAACCTCCTGGTCACAAAGCCACCCCTCCCCAGTCCAAAGTCACCGCAAAGTCCCGGGAGGCAGTGGCTGGTATAGTTAGCGCTCAGCACGTGCGTGCTGAAACAGGATGAGCACTTAGCCACTTTCATGAGCTTGAAAGTATCGTGGGGGGTCCCCGGCAAGTGCACAGTGTTTGGTCAAGGATCGACCTCGCTCTTCCCTGGGTGGCCCCCGCAGGGGCTCCACTCCCAGGGGTGGCCACGTTAGGGATCAGGCACGTCAGGCAGTGTACCCTTGGGCCGGGGGGACGGGGCACCAGCCCTGGGCCCCCGGGCTGATCCAGGCCCTCATTGGACTTGTTTCCCATCTATGAAACAAGGTGGGTAGAATCGGTGACCTCTTGGGGTCTTTGGCTCCAACAGCCACACACCTGCCCAGGATTTGTCCCTGGGTGACTCTTACGTAAATCCCTACCCACGGTTTACAGCTGGAGAGTGAACACATTTTCTTTTTTTTTGGTACTGGGAAACTGAACCCAGAGGTGCTTAACCCCTGAGCCCCATCCCCAGCCCTTTTTGTATTTTATTTAGAGATAGGGTCTCCCTGAGTCGCTCAGGGCCTTGCTAAGTTGCTGAGGCTGGCCTCCAACTGGCGATCCTCCTGCCTCAGCCTCCTGAGCTCCCGGGATCACAGATGTGCACCGCAGGCCCCCGGCTGGGTGAACCAGTTTTACACCAGAAAGAGGAAAAACGTGCCTCTGAGCTTTAGATTTTGTTATCCAAAACAGGGCCAAGTGCCACCCACCTTCACGGCAATGATGATGGTCTGGTTGGCCCCGAAAGGCTCCTGAGCGGTCACTTTGACAGTGGACGTCCCGATCACAGAGCCGGACACCAGGAAGCCCCTCTCATCGGCATGCACGACGGGAACCTTCTCAGGCCCCTCCAGGACACGGTAGCAAAGAGCCGCGGCACCGTCCCTTGGGGAAGAAGACATCTGTTTCTGCAGATGGCTGCGGGGGTGGGGGACGGCCCTGGTCGATGCCTCGAGATCGACCATCTGCCTGCAGTGCAGCGTGTGCTGTCGCCGTCGGCAGCCTCGTCAGCCACCCCCAGGAGACCTAAGCCAGAAAGCCTGTGGCTCTGAAGACAACATGGCCACGCACTCCTCAGAGTGGCCGTGGGGTCAGCGGGCAGCGGGCGACAGACCCTGAGGACGGTTGCATCAGCGACACGGTCATTTATGGGTAAAGATGGCTTCTGCAGCTAACGGTCACTGAGGTCAGGCCGCCTGGTGCGGTGGAGAGTGCGGGGCGGGGGCAGGACTGGGGCGGGGACAGGACCCTGGTGGGGACAGGATCCAGGTGGGGACAGGTCCGAGGTGGTCTAGAGCTTCCTCCGCCTTCTCTCTGGCCTCGGTTTCGTCAGCTCTGAAAGGGGAGGCCGAGTGCCCCGTCCTATTTCTGGGGCTGCTCACTGGACCCTGAGAGGGGTCACGGACAGCGTCAGCAGGCACTGAGCCAGGGGACGTCCTGTGGTGTCCTGTGCCCTCTCCTCTGCGGCCAGCCCTCCAGGTGATCTGGGCCGCGGCTCCCCTAAATCTGGGGGCCAGCAGCTCTTACTTGAGCCCTGGCTTGGCCGTGTGGCCCCTTTCTTGGTGGGCTCCTGCAGGACGCCTGCTGTCACCTGATGTCACCTCGTGCCATCCACCTCTGCCTGCATTCCTGGGGCCTAGCACAGTGCTGGGCACTGAGTTACTTCCGGCTGAACACTCCCTGGGTGTGCGTTCATAAAACATGGAACTCGGCCCCCGGGCCCTTAGCAACTGCCACTTAAGCGCAAATGCTCCTTAGGAAAAGTGTCCCTGTCCCTGTGAGGGTCAGGTGGGAATCACGTCTGCTCAGAACCTTTAAAGATGCACTTTTCGGACGTTAATGTGCATGGCCACCGCCCAGGGACCTCATTACAGGGCAGCTTTGTCCTTGCGGGTCTGGGAAGGGCTGCGAGGCGCACTTGACCTGGTCCCAGGTGAGGCCGCTCTGGTTAATTCATGGGCTCCGCTTCTGAGTCATTTGAAATATTTAACAGTCCAAGTTGGAACTTGTTCCCCTTTTCAACCCCGAGCTTCCCCCGTGAGTGGGAGATGTTTCTAGGCTGCGGTAGGCGGGCGGCCCCGGAGGAGGCCAGAGATGGGCAGTGGCCGCCCAGGTCCAGCCCAGTGCCCAGAAGGCGCCGTGGTGTCCAGATGGGCATGGGGGGGCAGCTCCCAGCCCTGCTGTGAACAGGAGCCGGGACACGTACCTGTTTGTCTGGAGCTTGATAAACTAGTTGGGGGACATTAATATTTGTTCTGCTTCTATCTCGGGGTTCAGCAGCCACAGCTTCTCGAAAACCTGGGAAAGAGGGTGAGCTGGGTCTCCCACGGCACGCCTGAGTCCCCTTATCCACAAGTGGGGGCTGGGGGCCAGGACGAGACCAACGGCAGACTATCTGCCCCATGGCTGGGGACACGATGGGGCTGGTGGCCCAGCCCAGGAGCAGCAGCTGTCTGCACCCCGTGGGAGCTGGGCCACCCGGCTTCACCCTCGGCCTCGGCCTCGGCCCCCGTCACAGGAGACTCCACAGCAGGGAGATCAGGCCCGGCGTCCTGCTCAGGGGACCCCCGCCACTGAGACATCCTGTCCCTGTCACCATCTCAGAACAAGCCTCTCTCTCTGCTGTGGCCCATCCGGCTCCCTCCCCTCTGCCATGCTCGAGGGCTCCTGGAGGACACAGGGGCAGCAGGACTCCTAGGGAGCCCACCACCTACATTCCCTCTCCAGACCACATAGGGCAGCTGGCTCCCTGCCCTCCAGGCAGCTGGTCCTGTGTCATGAGGCCCCACCCAAGGCCTGACCCCTGACCACAAGCAGGGCCCCTGACCACCTAAGCAGGCTCCGCCCTCCCCTGAGTAGGCTCCACCCTCCCCTGAGCAGGCTCCACCCTCCCCTGAACCAGGCCCCACCCTCCCCTGAGCAGACTCCACCCTCCCCTGAGCCAGGCTCCACCCTCCCCCTGAGCAGGCCCTGCCCTCCCCTGAGCAGGCCTCACCTTCCCATGGGCAGGCTCTGCCCTCCCCTGAGCAGGCTCCACCCTCCCCTGAGCAGGCTCCGCCCTCCCCTGAGCAGACTCCACCCTCCCCTGAGCAGGCTCCACCCTCCCCTGAGCAGGCCCCGCCCTCTCCTGAACTAGGCCCAGCTGCTGTTCCTGGAACCCACAGGCTGTTCCCGGTCACCAGGCCTTTGCTGCTCAGATCTGCAGCCAACCCTGCCACCGGCAGAGTCCCTCCATGCAGTCTGGCGACACCACCCTTGGGCTCCCCCCAGGGTGACACACACCCCCTCTGCCCGTCCTCCCCAGGCAGGCGCAGCCCCTCAGTGCAGCGAGGGTCCCCCACACCAGGGGCCCAGGAGCTCTGGGCCAGGCCCCTGCGCTGTCTGCTGCCCTCACGGCTGTGTCCCGTCAGTACCTGGACCTGGATCTCGTCTGAGAGCTCCTTGGCAAGGCCGTGCAGCTGTCCCGCTGAGGGGTCCAGGGCCTTGACCACCACCCTCAGCCCCGTGCGGCCCTTCGCCCGGCCGAGCAGGCTCATGGCGAAGTTGTACTGCGAGGGCAGCTGGACGGACGCCTGGAAGGCAGAGAGCGGGCTCAGGGACAGGCCTGGGGGCACCCTCTTCCCCAAGGCCACTGCCCTCGGCCGGGGTCAGATCTGCTGACCCAGGGCCACACAGACGGCAGTCACCCACACAAGGCCACCGGCCACTCTGCATGGTGCCTGGGACGCGGGGTCACTGAGCGGGGCCTGGAGCCCTGTGTGTGCGTGGGAGTGTTATGTGGGGGCTGCTGGGTTTTGTGGGGTCCCCCACAGGGCCCACTGCAGGACGTCTGTGATAAGCCACAGTGTGTCCTGCAGCGGGCCCTGTGTCCCCTGCCCTGGGACAGGCCCCCGGGGCGATGAGGCCGCCCGCCCTCCGGGAGGCAGGCTGGGCCCTACCTCGTGGTGCCGTCCGCGGAGCTCCAAGATGTCGCGCTTGGTGACCGACCAGTGGAAGGTCAGGCCTGGCACGGCGTTTGCAAAGGAGAAAGGGCTCTGGTTGTTGGTGACCCCAGTGACATAGACGGGCATCTGGGGGTGAGAGAGCCGGGCCTGTGAGCACCCACGCACCCAGGCTGGGGACCTTCCTCCTGGAGCTCTGCCTATCTGCCCATGTCCACCCCAGGCCGGACATAGGTTCTGGGAGCCATGAACAAACACCAGATAGTCCAACCACCGGGGACCGGCCTGTCCCTCCCTGCCAGGGGCTGTGCATGGCCAGGTCCATTTCTGGAAAGACCCCTGGGGCTGCAGGAGGCCTGCGGACACCCCTGGCCACTCAGCCCATGCTGCCGAGGTCCGCACCCTCCTGCTGACCCTCCCAGGCCTTGTGGGGCGTGGACACGGGCAGCCTGGCTCCTTCAGCCTGTGGGCAGGCGTAGGTGAGCCGGCCACCAGCTGGCCCCCAGCCCGACTCCAGGTGGCAGACTGGGGACACGCAGTGCTAGCCACACCCACAACCAGCTGCACAGGCCTGAGAACTGTCTGACTCGCCCTGGGGATGCTGGGGACATTGGGGACAACCCCAGGTGCATGGGAGGACACACAGGCCCCTGCACCCACGGGGCGCTTCACATGAAGGACGAGGGCACTCTTAGGTCTTGGTATTGGCAGGGGCTCTGGGAAGCAGGCCTCCTGGGTGCCAAGGACAGCAGCCCTGGCTGTGCACAGGACTTGGGGTATCCACGTCCATCGCTCACCGGCCAACCTCACAGGTGCACGGGGTAGGGGCTCCTGCTATCCAGGTGCTACCCAAGGTGGGGGATGGGCAGCCTCGCCCTCAGGGAGGAGGCCAGGTGGACCCCAAGGGGAGACGCTATGCTTGTGTTGCACGCCCACCCCACCCCAGGCCCAGAACCGAGCCTAAGCTGGGCACCATGGACACGTGGCTCTGGCCCAGGGAAGTGCCCTCACAATGGCTTCGTCAGAACCAGAACACGGAGCCCCATCCCGACTGGTCCTCACCTGGGTGCCCGTCCTCATGCGCGTGATGGGTGCGCGGATCCTCACCGCCCGCAGCTGCACCACCTCTAGCTCCACCAGGTCCTGGGAAGAGACTGGGCTCAGGCTGCGGGCCCTTCAAAGTCCCCATCTGGCCCCTGAGCCTCGAGGCCTAGCGGCCCAGCTGACCCATGTTAGCATGGCAGGCTTGCTGGGGCCTGTTCTCTCAGCGGGTGGCCCTCGCAGGACAGGTCTCTAGGTCCACTCAACCCCAAATCCAGCTCGTCCTTCTCCCTGACTCAGGACACAGGGAGGCACACAGGAGCCACAGGGTGCGGTGAGAACAGACTGCACATACTCCCACATTCTCATCTCCATGCTTCTGTTGATCTGACCAAATGCCCACTTCAGTGGCCTGCTGACCTGCGCAGCTGACCTGGGCTGTGCTCAGGCTACTAACCCCTCCAGGCCTGCTGACAGGCTCAAGGGGACCCTGTGCCTCCTGACTGCTGTCAATCCTTGGCACTCAGCTGGTCCTGAAAAGCACTCACTCTCCCACCTGCCCCGGGTCCTCCTTCTCTGGTCCATTTCCACTAAGAGGCCTGGGCCACCCAGCAGGACCACCCAGCAGGTTGGGGTGCTGATTCTGAGCTGGGGTTGGACAGCTGGTCCTGGATGCTTTGACCAGACACAGCTCGACATGGACGTGGGTCCAGGGGGCAAGGGGGCCAGCAAGGCCAGGCCACAGGGAAGAAGGGCAGAGGGGAGGGGACAGGGCTGTCGTCCTCTGCCTGGCCCCAGAGAGGAGGAGCCGGGTCCCCCCCAGAGAGAGAAGCCAGCAAGGCACCCGGGGCCTCTGGACCCCGTGGAAGTTTCCAGGCGCTCAGGGCTGCCCTGCGTCTGCTGGCACGGAAGAGGGTCATGGCGTCCCCTGGTGCTCACAAAGCCTCTGTGGTCACCCGGATGCTTGGAAGCCCGCACTGAAGCTGCGGGCAGAGGAGTCCATCAGTGGACTCATGGTTGGATCAAAGTCCGCCTGGGAAGCAGGATCACACGCCCTGAGCTCAGAGGGCTCGGGCTGCTCGGAGGGGACCCGCTTCTGGGCGAGGGACGCCGGCTGAGATCTGAAGAGGCCCTCCTCCCTGGTGGCCCTGCGTGCCCACGGGGCTGTCCTCAGCCCCCAGCGCTCAGTGTGGCCGGCAGCGGGACCCCAACCTGCACCTGAGGGCCTGGGTCACCACGGCCGAAGGATGCCAGGGGCACCAGGGCCTCTGGGGTACCCCTGAGCCTCTCACAGCCGTGGAGATGACCCGGCCTCCACTCCAGGAGATGGAGGTGCCCGACCCCCGGGAAAGGCAGCGGACCTCGGATGCTGACCCCCGGCCTGGAGCCCCCCATGCAGGCGGGGCAGGAGGCCCGCCCAGCAGGGACAGCTGTCTGGTGACCAGGAGGAGCAATCAGGCCTGTCCCCCCAGCAGAGGCTTGGGGACACCTGACTGTGGCAGGTGGCTCACGGTCCCTCCTGGAGGTGCCACCCCTGACTGATTCTCAATCTGCCACACTTGGGGCACGACCCTGAGCGCACGCACACTGTCACCCACACAGTGTCCCCTCCTCTGTCCCTGGCACATAATCAAACCCCACTGGGAATGAGCCAGCAAGACCAAGAGCCTGGCCACATCCCAGACCTGCCACACGAGGACAGGGCCACTGGCTGGTCACTCCAGGGGCTCTCTGCAAATGGGAGCCAGAGGCACAGAGCTGAGGACCGAGGAGAGGACCGCACAGCGTCCACCCACTGGGGGCACGGGGTGGGGTGGTGGCCTGGCCCGCCACAGGAGACCTGGGAGCCTCGGCCTGCAGGAGGCACCCGGGGACGGGGCCCACATGGGCAGTTTGTCCCAGGAGGGGACACATAGGGACAGCAGGTTCAGGGGCAGGTCCCCAGGAGTGCCTGGCACCGCTGGCCACACGGGGCTGCCTGGACCCAGGGCACCAACCCGCAGGGCTCCCCACCCCAGGCGTGGCCGGTGCCGGCCACCACGGGCTCAGGGATACCTGGGAGCCCACGATGACCTTGCCGGTGTCCGCGTCCGCCGCTTGCACGACGCCCGACACGGTGCCGCTGCCCACGGCCAGGCCACGGACCAGCCCTGTGCTGCCCACGGTGGCCACGCTGGCATTGCTGATGGAGAAGAGGATGTGGGACTGCGGCTGGGGACCGCCCTCAGAGGTGACCTGCGGGGCAGACGCGTGGCTTCGTGGGCACCTGCACACGCGTCAGGAACGTCCACCCTCGGGCCAGCAGAGGCCACAGGCGGGCTTGTCCTGAGGCGGGGCGGTGGCCTCCTCGCTGGGACCCGCTGGGGACATGAGTGGGAGGGACAGGCCTCGGCTCCTACCTGCATCGTGGCCCCGATGATCAGCGTCACCCTCCTGGGAATCAGCCTGAACGGGGGGAAGACCTGAGGGGACGGGAGAGGACGGGTGAGCCTCGGTCACGTGGGTCACATGGGGCACAGCGCCCACGCCTCAGGAGCTGGTGGGCAGAGGTCGGGCGGCGATGATGGACAGTGGACCGGTAGCCATGGGTGACCGTGGGGGCCTTGGTAGGGCACGTGTCCTCTGGCCCAGGACAGACCCACAGAGCCCAAGGCGGGTCCTGTGATGGGGACACAGCCCTTGGGGGCTCACACACGTCACCGTCTGCCACCTCTGGCTCCCAAGGTCCCTCCAGATCCCTGAGGACGTGAGGAGCCCAGCGGCCATCTACTCCAGCATCCTCGGGATTTCTGAGGCTCAAAGAGGGGCCGAGGGGCAGGCAGAAGGGACACAGCGCCCCCCGCCACACGGCAGGTCCCCACCCCCTGGGCAGCCCCACAAGTCCCCGCGGCCATGGGAGCCGCCAGGATGCTGCCCATGGTAGGAGGGTCAGCCTCCCAGGGCTGCGCCAGGGGGAGGAAGGTGACCGTGCCCTGGAGGCCAGCACCATCCCCTGGAAGCCTACTCTGTCCCCTGGAGGCAGGCATGGCCCCTGCAAGCTGTGGACGCAGGTCAACAAAGCCCACTGGCCCCTGTGGGGCCAAGTCCCTTGGAGGGTCCAAACAACAGGGTGCCCTGGCCCCGGTGGCCTTGGCAGTAAGACTCTAAGGACCCGACAGAGCCCAGTGTCACACGGAGACAGGGGCTTCAGGGCTGCCTTCCCCAGAGCGGCCGGCCCTGGGTGGCTCCGGGTGGCTCACTGACCCCTCTGCCCGCACAGCCCCATGGCAGGAGCTCAGCCCCCAGGCGCCTGGGCGGAGGCTCAGGTCAGGTCTACACAGTGCATCTGCCACTTCCCTACGGGCCACTCTCTGGGAACAGTTCTTGCTCGTCCCCTTGCCATGTGACTAGGCATGCCTCTCCTTAGGGCCACACAGGGCCCTGTGTCACAGAGGGAGATTAGAAACACTCAGGCTGGGCTCAGGGGCCCACGCCTGTCATCCCAGCGGTTTGGGAGGCTGAGGCAGGAGGATCGCCAGTTGGAGGCCAGCCTCAGCAAAAGTGAGGCCCTGAGCAACTCAGTGAGACCCTGTCTCTAAATAAAATGCAAAACAGGGCTGGGGACAGGACTCAGTGGTCGAGGGCCCCTGGGTTTAAGCCCTGGTACCAAAAAGCAAAACCCCCAGCCACCTCCCTCCAGCACTGAGACCTGCCTCCCGGCCCCGGGGACGGGTGGAGACCCTCTCCTCAGAAGCCAGGACGGGCACACATTTTAACAGGGCCTCTCCGTGGTGACTTCCTGGGCTGTTGCTGGACCGTCCAGCCTGTCACCAAGAAGGCACCCTCCCCCAGCAGGGGCAGACCCCAGAGGGCGTGAGAAGGGCCGGTTTACTTCAATCTGCTGCGGGGTCGAGCTGATCCTCTGTCCGGCGGTATCGGTCATGTTTGTGGTCAGGCTGGTCTGGCCGATGGCCGTGCCATGCACCAGGAACGCAGCCGTGTAGCTGTCCAGGGCTTCATCCAGGGCCCTGAAACAGATGGGGCGCTGGGTTCCACCTCCGGGTCAGACCTGCCAAGGAGGGCGCAGTCGGTCCAGCACTGTCCCTGAGAAGCCCACCTGACCCCCGGGAGGACTCACACCAGGGTGATGATCTGGGAGGCCGCCCGCAGCTTGAGGTCCATGAAGGCAAAGTACTTGGCCAGGAAAGACTTCTTGTAAAAGTCCAGCACTCGGACGTGGGCCTTGACCATCTTTCCAATCTCCACCTGTGTCGGGGGGACAGAGGCTTGAAAGACCAGTTCCCTCAGGTGGGGACAGTGACCTCAAAACCAATGCCCTAGGAGCTGGCGATGAGTCGCCCAGGATGACCTCTCTCTGGACTAGGTCAATCAACAAACGAACACCAATTAAGTACTTATTGTATACAACAGGGCTTGGGGACACTAAGAGACAAAAATTCCACTCCCTACTCTTAATGGATGAACCACAGAACCCCGAAAATAAGGTATAGCTTAGGCCAGGCGAGGTGGCCCACGCCTGTCATCCCAGCAGCTCGGGAGGCTGAGGCAGGAGGATCGTGAGTTCAAAGCCAGCCTCAGCAACAGTGAGGCCCTAAGCAAATCAGTGAGGCCCTGTCTCTAAATAAAATGCAAAATAGGGCTGGGGATGCGGCTAAGGGGCTGAGTTTCCCTGAGTCCAATCCCTGGTACACTCATTCAAAAAAATATATATATATATAGCTTATAACTCCATCATGCATTCAACAGGAGCTCAATAAGTGCTCACCAACTGAACAGTTCACATCTGGCAGTGCATAATAGCAAGTGGGGGCTGGAAATGCTTAGCAAAAAAAAAGGAATCTAGTAAGGAAATGAGCAGAGAAATCACATTATGGGAGGAATATTTAAGACCCGGTCGGGAATGTTAGCACTTTAGCTAATTAATGATACTTTGTAGGTAAGTAGCCTAAGCTGCCTGAATATTTGCTTTTTAATTACCAACCGTTACACCCACTGGGTCAAACAAGAGGCTGACAGCACCCCCTGGAAGCCTGGCGTGGGTTACCTCTGATATTGGGAGTCATAAAAATTTCCTGATGAGCTGGGTGCCTGTAATCCCAGTGGCACGGGAGGCTGAGGCAGGAGGATCGTGAGCCTCAGCAACAGTGAGGCCCTAAGCAACTCAGTGAGGCCCTGTCTCTCAATAAAATACCAAAAGGGCTGGGGACGGGGCTCAGGGGTCGAGTGCCCCTGGGATCAGTCCTGGTACCAAAAAAATATAATAATAATAATAAAAAGAAAAAGTTTCCTGATGAGGCCAAAGAAAACCCAGATCTATTATTTACCATTTTGCAAGAGCAATTGGAGGCCCTGAGCTCTCCCCAGGGTGGTGAAACTCCAGAGGAGCACAGCTGCACCCGGGATGGGGGGCCCGGCTGCTGTGTGACCTGCGGGCGCTGGAGGACACGGGTCCCAGGCCAGGCTGGCTTAGCTGACCTCGCCAGGGTCTATGGCTGAGCCCCGCGGATGTCGGCTGGACGAGGAAACCGGACAGCAGTGGAGATGCTGCCCCTCCCCACCCAGCCAGGGAGCTCAGAGCAGCCCAAGGGCAGTGGGAAGGCCAGCTTTGAGGGGACATGTCCACTGACCTTGTCAACCACGCGGACATACAGCTCGTGGATGTCTGAGACGTAGACGGTGGCCTTGGCTGGGGCCAGGAAGGGCAGGCACAGGTCATGGATCAGGACGGTGGCCGAGCCTGGCAGTAAAGGGTGCACCTGCAAGATGTGGGGTGGGTGGGGTCAGGCCCCCATCTCTGGGGTGCCGCTGCCTGAGACCAGTGCTTGGAGGCAGTGGGCAAGGACATCCACAACCCAAGGGGTGTTCTGTCTACTTCCGTGGGCCCCATGGCCAGCCAGCAGAGGAGCTGGGGATATAAAATGTCCGTGCTGGGGATCTCAGAAAGAGCGTCTATCTCAACTTTGTCCATTTTACAAAGAGAAGAAAATGGAAGCTGCTCAGAGAGGGGCAGCGGGCGGCCTTGGGACACACAGCAACCTGAAGGCAGAGTCAGGATTTAACCCCAGGAGGCCAGGTCCTGTTCTGGCCGTCTGTTTCTGCGACTCCATGGGGCGAGGCTGCCAACCAGGAGCAGGCAGAATAGGAGACAGGTGCTTTCAAAAGTGAGTTCTAAGAAACCCCCATTAGAGCTCACAGCGTCACAGAACCTGGGGACCGACCCCAGAGGTCACTCAGGCAGATGCTCCTAGAGGCTCATCCATCTCTACGCCCTGGCTTTGCTTGAGGTAGTGACCACAGCAAACGCACCAAGTGAAGGAGCAAACCTGAGCTGGTGTTTTCTGGACTTTTAGCTGCCAATGTCCCCATTTTAACTCTTCTCTCCCAACCCCTTCCAGGGACCCCACTTTCTACAGAATCTCCCCCATAACAAATGGCACCCCAGTCTCTCTCTTGTGCTGCCAGATGATGGGCATCCCCACACTGGACGTTTCTCAGCTGAACATGGACCAGCTGCAACATGTCATAGTGCTTAGGTGAGTATTTCACCTGGGGGTTTTCGGTTGGGGCGGGCAGGGCCAAGGGGGGTTGCGGCCCGTCTCTAGCTCACTTTGCTTCCTGCTCTTTGGGATCCCCTACTCAGGGGAAGGGCGATGTGCACAGCGACAGGTCAGTATCTGCTAAGAGGACTTTCAGTACTAAGAATCTGGAGGGGGAAAAATCAGGCTTTGGACTCAAAAGGAGACAAGCAGCCAAGATCATATCGCACCCTGGTTAAAACACGTCCACGGCTTTCCAGTGCTCTGAGGTTGAGCCCGAATCCTCAACGTGTCCTACTGGAGACTGCGGTGGCCAAGGCCGCAACCCCCCTTGGCCCTGCCTGCCCTGGCCGAAAACCACTCAGTTGAAATACACGCCTAAGCAATACGACACTCGCAGGGCCACAGTCTCACTGCACCATCCCTCATAACCATCAAGCCCCAGCCACATCAACCTTCTCTCCTGTCCTCACGGTCAGCAGGCTCCTGCCCGCCTACCTGCCGTGTGACCTTATAGTCCACCTTGGAGGTCTGGGATACAGCCAGGATGGTGGTGCATGCCTGTAATCCCAGCAGCTTGGGAGGCTGAGGAAGGAGGATGGTGAGTGGGAGGCTGGCCTCAGCCAAAGCGAGGCCCTAAGCTCTTCTCCCTTGAGCTGTGCCTTCTGACTCCAACTCAGCCTCCACCCCATACAGGGGAGGCCCCTCCATTACTTTGCTGACTTCTCCCAGGGGCTCCTGTCACCGTCTCTAACACAGCCTTAATGGAGAGCACCACTCAGCACCTCCTTCCCCTCCTGGCCTCTCCACCCTATGCTGGGCCTGGTGCCTGGCACAGCCTGGACCCTGGGCACCTCCCTCATCAGACAGAGGCTCTGAGGGATTCTCCAGATGCACAGACACCTGGTCCTTGAGCCAGCCTGGCTGTCCAAAGTCTGAACCTGCCTAGTGAAGACATGGAACTTCCGGAAAAATACCCGTGCACCCCCATTCATGCGGGAAGTACTCCCCGTCGGGGCTCCTGGTGCCAGAAGAGTCGGGGGATGCCTGTGGCAGCCAGGACGGAGGTGTCGGGGGGAAGGATGGGCAGCCAGTGGGAAAGGCCAGTGGGTACATCTGCCCCCCAAGGAGAGCCCATTGGGAACCGCAGAGAAGAACGAGAAACTTCAATTTTTGCACATTTTAAACAGAGGCAGAAAAGGACAGTGGGAAGGTCACTGTCCCTTCCGCTCAGCTGTCAGAGGGTGGACGTGTGGCCATCTTCTGGAGGCTGGCCTGCCCTGTGTCTGGGGTGCCCTGGCTCCCTTCACCTCTGTGATGACGCTGGGGCCTCACAGGCCACGTTGGGGACAAACTGGTGGCTGTGGGGACCTGCGCCTGACCCTACCAGGACCACAGCCCCTGCCTCTCATGGCCTGGGTCCCGGGCTCCTCGGCCAAGCTGGAAGGACAGAGCTGGGGACAAGCCAGGCCTGGAGTGAGCCCTGGATTCCAAGAGCTGGAGTGTCACCCGAGGACATTGGCAGACGGAGCCCAGGGCAAAGTTGTGTCACCTGTTTGCAGGTGACGAATGCAGTGCTGCCCTGAAGAACCAGTTGCCATCCCAGCCCCCGCCTCCTCCCCAGGCCCCCACCCTGCTTTAAAGTCCCCCGACAGGTGGCCTTCGCAGAGACCAAGGACACGGGGATATCTCTGCCTCTCCGCGGCCGCGGGCTCCTGTTCCCTGAAAACCTGTGCAGGCTCCATGGTGGGCCAAGCATGCGGGACAGAGGGGACTGTGTCTCTTCCTGTGCCCCAGGAGTCACCCTCAGCCCAGAGGACGACCTCGGCTCGCGTGACAATCTCAGGCTCTGAGGGGAGTCCTGGCCTGGGTGCTGGGCATGTGCCCCTCTGTCCACAGACCAGTGTCACAGAAAAGTAGGGCCACCTGAGCTCAGGCCCAGCTGCTGCCACTGCTCCCTGCCTGCTCCCCAACCTGTGTCCCCAGCAGCAGTGGCACCAGGCCCTGCACTGCTTCCCAGGGCCTAGGAGACACCAAGAGGCACCACTGTGTCCTCTGCTGCCCTGTCAACGTCATCCCACACCCAGCAGAGCCCTTGGCCTGACAGGAACGCCAGCCCCGCAGAAGGGACACAGCAGTGAGAAGTGGCAGTCGCTCAGGTGGCAGGGGACGCTTGGCCCTGCTCCTGTGACCTCGCAGCCTCAGCTGGAGGGCTCATCTTGACCCACCAGGATATGTCAGTTGGAGAGGGACCCGAGCTCATGTCAGGGAAGTGCCCCTCTGTGTGCCCGCTGGACACGGGGCCGAGTGGCTGAGCTGGCCATGGCCTGCACAGCCTGGCTGCCCCGAGCACAGGACAACAGGCCCTACGCCTCCCTTCCAGGGGCCAAGGGCTGTCCCTGAATTCTCAGTGTCCAGGAGGAAGAGGAAGTGTCCCAGCAGGGGTGAGACCCAGCAGGTCCCCGAACTAGCAGCTGAAGACCAAGGAAATGTGTGAAGTGTCCTCTGGAGGAGGCTGGGAGGACCTTCAGACGGTCAGCACTGAAGGGGACATCCCTCCCAGGGCCACAGAGGCCCACAGGGCAGGGCCCAGTTTCCCTCTAGAGCCTCGAGAGTCCCTGCAGGAGGAGGAGGAGGAGGAGGAGAGGACGAAGAGGAGGAGGAGGCGGAGGGGGAGGAGGAGGAGGAGCAGGAGGAGGAGGAGGGGGGGAGCAGGAGGAGGAGGAGGAGCAGGAGGAGGAGCAGGAGGAAGAGGAGGAAGAGGACGATGAAGAGGAGGAGGAGGGGGAGGGGAGTTGGAGGAGGGGGAGGGGGAGGAGGAGGAGCAGGAGGAGGAGGAGCAGGAGGAGGAGGAGGAGGGGGAGGAGGAGGTGGAGAAGAAGGCGCAGGAGGAGGAGAAGGAAAAGGAGGAGGAGGAGGAGGAGGAGGGGGAGGAGGGGGAGGAGGAGGAGGAGGAGGGGGAGGGGGAGGAGGAGGAAGAGGAGGAGGAGGAGGAGGAGGAAGAGGAGGAGGAGCAGGAGGAGGAGCAGGAGGAGGAGGGGGAGGAGAAGGAGGAGGAGGAGGAGAAGGAGAAGGAGGAGCAGGAGGAGGAAGAGCAGGAGGAGGAGGGGGAGGAGGAGCAGGAGGTTATTCCAGAGAACTTCTGGGGACAAAGCTGTTCTCAGGGGGCCTGCCTCACAGGTTATTCTGCCAGAGGGCTGGGTGGGCCCACCTGGGGTCCTGCCTGCAAGGGGACACTGTTCCCCTCAAGATCCCACAGAAGGGAAGACACAGGGATGGCCCAGTGACCAGTGCATGTTCCAGGGAGAGGCGGCTAGGGCTCTGCAGTGGCCTCTCCCCTCAGCCTCCGGACGTAACGGAGACAGGCACCAGCTGCCTACATCTTCAGGCTGACTGGGAGGGGTTTTTCCTTTCTTTTTCAAAATTTTTAAAAATACTTAAGTATTTTTTTTTAAATGACGATGTGGCCCAGTGGCAGAGCGCTTGCCTAGCATGCCTGCGGCCCTGGGTTCCATCCCTGGTACCAAAAAAAAAGAGAGAAAGAAAGAAAATGGAGTCCTACCTCACCCCACAAACCCAGCGTATTATTTCAAAGACTGAAGTGCAAGAGCTGGAATTTTAAGTCTAGAAGAAAACATGGATCTTCGCGACCTCGATTTTTAACAGATTCTTAGATCTCACATCAAACACAGGAGCAAGGACACAAGGAAACAGAGACACCGCACCCCTCAAAATGAAAGCCGTGAGCGCAAGACGATGCTACCAAAAAATCAAAAGATGACCTAAGGAACAGGAGACAGAGGGCTGGTGTCATCAAGAAAGCGTGACAGTAAACCTGGGGCTGGGGCTGAGCCGCAGGGCCTGGCCCAGTATGTGGGAGGCACTGGCTCGATTCCCAGCACGGCCCCTGAATAAGTAAAGATCCATCAACAACTAATAAAAATATTTTTAAAAAAGATGAAATATGGGCCCAGGATCTGAGCAGACATTTGTCTAACAAAGCCACAGAAACACACGGGTGACGAGCACAGGAACAGTCACCACACCATCAGCCATCAGGCAGATGCCAACGGTCACCGCAGTGCAAAACCACTGTCCAAAGATGGCTAGAACTTAAGTCTGATAAGTACAAGTGTTGACAAGGATGTGGGGCAGCCAGGGCCCTCACGCAGGTAGGGGACATGAGGAGCCGGGGCCCTCCCTAGGCTCCACCGCAGGAACGGGGTTGCTGAGCCACTCGGGAAATCCGCCAGGAAGTTCCTGGATGGTTTCCACAGTCCCTGCAGACTCGGGGACTGCATTCCTGGGTATAGGGACGACAGAAGTGAGAACGGTCACTGAAGTGGGCCGCGTGAGAGAGCGGGTGAGGACAGGAAGGTGGTGGCCACAGGGCCCCGGTTTCTTTTGGAGATAATGACAACACTCTCGACACTGACCGTCGTGGTGGCCGGGCCTGTGTGTGGACACCAAAATCCACCAAGTCCTACCTTCAGGGGGCGACGCCCACGGTACCCGAGTCGCACTGTGGTCTAGACGTCACCAAGTGATAGGAACCAGCCAGGGGCACGGTGCAGCCCCCAGGCCCTCCCTGCTCCTCGACTTGCCTCCGTCCCATCACCTAGCACCAAGGTCACACCCAGGTCCCCTTAGCTGACACTTCCAAGTGTGTCCCTGACAGTGGCTAGTGCCCCTCACTTTGTACCTGTCCCAGCCCACAGGCCGTGACTTGGGGACCCCCACATTGAGACGGTCAGGAGGTGAACGGACCGGGGCTCACTGGACACCGCTCAGGGTGACACATGTGATCACTGGTGACACCATGGACTCTCTGCGGCAGTGGGTGAGGCCACCTCGCGGGCAGACGGCTCAGGCCCTGGACGCAGGCTGGGTCTGGACGTCTGCTGGCCTAGGAGGGCCGCCTGCTTCCCTAGGCCAGGCCCAGGGCAGGGACCGGCGGGGGGACTGCAGGTGGCCCCCAGGCAGGTGCCACCGCTGGGCCAGGGCCCCGGGAGTTGCACCAGCACCCACGCCAGGCGACCACCCTGGCCTCCTTGAGGTCCGTGGCCTGGTCCTGATGGTGGCCGCCTTGTGGGAACCGTCCCTTAGAACAGGGAGAGCAGTGCCTGGGCTCCGAGTGGCCCAGAGGCAACCGGCCAGCTGTCCCTCAGCGGCGCTGCCTGGCTGGACACCCCTGCTGTGTCCCCTTGGGCCGCCCTGTGTCTGACTCACTCAGCAGGAAACGGGCTCCTTCTAGAGAAGGTTCGGGCCCAGGTGACGCCTGCCTGTTACCTCAGGACTTGGGAGGCCTGGGACAGAGGATGGAAAGTTCGAGGCCAGCTGGGAAACTCAGGAGGACCCTGTCTCAAAATAAGGACCACGAAGGGCTGGGGATGTGGCCCGTGGCAGGGACCCCAGAGACGTGGGGACAGGGAGCAGCAGGTGTGTCCTGGGTCCGAGAGGCACGATGGCTGCTAAGGTGCTGCCCGTGTGAGGCTGTGTCACTCTCAGCAGGACACTGAGGGACACCACTGCTGACGGACAGGGCACGCAGCTGTGGACACGGACTAGAGATCCCCAGGTGGCCCTGCAGTGACAAAGGTCCCAGAGTGACCCAGACGCACTGGCGCTGCTCAGTCCCAGCTTTGGAAACGATCGGCCACGAAGCCCAGGGGACGGCCCACTGAAGAAGCCACCCCGTGCCGGCCGAGGCCCCGCTCACCGTGGCGATGCCCCTGGCCTCCTGGTAGGCCACCCTGACCACATTGGCAGTGCTCGTGTTGAGGAAGAAGTAGCTGGAGCCCTCCTTGACGTGCAACTCTGCCTGGGGACGAGAGGCCAGGGGCAGCGGTCAGGCAGGGCCAGGGCCCAGGGTCTCCCGGGCGGGGCGGGGCTGGCGGGGGACCCACCTGGACATCAGGGTGGTTGTAGAGGGTCACCATGTCCGGATCCACACGCACGTCCTCCACCAGGACCAGCTCCACCGAGGCGGACACGGGCGCAGGTGGGCCAGGCTGCAGGGACAGGGCAGGGCCATCAGACCCATAGGCCACCCCTGGGACAGGGGCGGGATCCCAGTCCTGGCATTGCCCCAGGCCCCCGTGATGTCCAGGACACACACTGGGCCCAGGGCAGCCACCTTCCCATGAGGCCCCAGACCCCAGAGCTGGGAGGAGCCGTTCCCGGTGCCCAGCGGGCAGCTGTCCACCCCCACGGGTGGCTCTGGACATACCAGTGGCTTCACTGTGGCTGCACTGAGGTGGGACAGCTGGTAGCCGGTCACCGTGGCAGAGATGGAGGTGGTCCCTGATGCCTCATGGACAGCAATGGCTTGCAATCCTGGGTCCAGAGGAGGACACCGACGTTGGGCCTCTGTGGTCACCCACCCCTCCATCATGGGCAAGCCCCAGTGTGAAAGTCGGGGGGAGTCGGGAGTCGCCAGACCCTGAGTGGGGCCCAGGGAGCAGGGCTGGAGGGGACGGGCCAGCTTTGGCTGCTGAGGGGCCTGGGGACACACAGGGGCCACCGGGGACTCCCCACTTGGGACCTCTAGCTCCAGTGCAAGACTGCAGCCCAGGGAGCTGCCCGAGCTTCGGTGCTGGACGAGGGGACCCCAGCTGGCCAAGGGGCGCCCCAGCTGGCAGAGGCTCTGACAGGTGCCACGCTGCTTGGGACACTCATCTGTCGGGGTTTCCCTGGTCCCCAGCCTCCTGTCCAGGGCTCCAGGCCCACAGCCGCGGCTCACCATGAAACTTCCTCTGGCCACTCCCGTCGTCCCGGGACACCAGCTGCATGGGCAGGTCCAGCTCGATGCTGGCCAGCGAGGGCCGGGTGGATTCCCACTGGACGCCCAGGGAGCTGAAGTTGTCGAATTGGCGGCCCTGCTGGTCATAGGCGGCGAGGTCCAGCAGGGGGTTGCGGTGGCTGGAGATGGGAACCTACAGGAAACAGAGGTCAGGACACCCAGGCCTGGGCACAGCCACGGCTGACCACATGGTGTATCCTGAAGCTGACGGACTGCCTGTGGGGTCCTGATGGGGGAAGGGATGAGCTGAACACCAAACTCTACAGCTGCTGGCCACCAAGGCACCCTGCACTCAGGAGACTGAGGCAGGAGGATCGCAAGTTGGAGGCCAGCCTCACCAACTCAGCAAGGCCCTGAGCACCTCAGTGAGACCCTGTCTCTAAATAAAATACAAAGAGGGCTGGAGATGGGGTACAGGGGTTAGCAGCCCTGGGTTTGATCTCCAGAGCCAAAAAAAGTTGGTACTAAGGAATTAAGGAGCAGAATAGTGGTCAGTAGAGGCCAGGGAGGCAGAGGAGGATGAAGAGCAGAGGCCAAAACAGTCAGCCAGGAACAGGGACTTCCCTGTCCCCCATGGCAACACCAGAGTCCAAAGGCTCCTGGCCGGGGCCACATCCCGGGGATCCAGGTGAGCTCAGGGGATGACAGGCAGGCAGTCCAACCTGCCCACCACCTGGACTGTGCTCTGCTAGTCCCTGGCCACCTCTCCAGACCTGCCTCCTCCCCAGCCCCTCCCCCACGCACCACCTGCTTGTCGTGCTGCAGCCGTGGACACGACGGGTCCAGCGGGGGACCGGCGTGGACAGGCGTGAGGCTGATCCTGGATGGCAGGGCGCAGACGACCTTCACCACGGCAGGCTCCACGGCGGGGAAAGGGTTGGTGAGGCTGGGCTGGTTCCCCACGGACAGGGCGATGACCTGGGGGTGGGGGGATGGCAGTCAGGGCACGTCCCCCAGGGCGCGTCCCCTCCTGTGCTCTGCTCTGCAGGACGGCTGTGATGTGGACACCCACGCCCAGTGGCTGCCAAGGGCCGGGGACCCAGGGGGCACGGCTGCACCTTCTCAGTGCAGGGCGCTGTGGATGCTGTGGATCCCAGGGCCTCTGTAGGGGACCCGGGGAGATCGGGGCACTGTGGCCTCCGGGACCCAGGAGCCCCCAGGATGCCCCAGCACATGCAGAAGTCCCCAACATGTGAGGAGGGGACACGCTCACTGCTCACAGACCCTGTCCTCGGGGTGGACGGGAGGTGCTGCTCAGGACACAGGAGGGTGCAGAGGGTCACCCTGCAGAGCCCTGGCTGCCTGCTCACTGGCCAAGAGGGATCTCGGGGGTGGGGTCTGGCCCTGTGCATACGCCCTATGGGATGGGCGCCTAGGCCACTGCAATGCCACACCCCTCTGCAGACGGCCCGGATCTGGTCCAGGTGCCCTGTAGGGCCACCAGGCAGGAGGGGGCGGGTCCCCTGGGCTTCCTTCTCTGTGCACTAATCTGGTCACACAAGCGTAGTCCTGGGCATCCTGGGAGCTGCCCATGAGACTCTGGACTCCACCGGTGCCCTCTGTACTATTAAATGTGCAGGGGACACCCCCGCCTCTCCGGGTCCACTCTGACCTCCTGCTCACTTTCCATGCCCTCTTTGGGGAACCCTGGCAACAGAGCGGTGGACCCCACAGAAAGACAAAGGGCGCAGAGCCCGTAGCTTCTGCCTGGCTGGAGGGCGCGGGTACCAGGCACCAGAGGACCTGCACCTCGCCACCCACCAGGCCAGCCCAGGGGCTCAGGCCACACCATCCACTCAGTCTTCTGATATTTCTCGATTTTCACATTTAAAAAAAAAAATATGAAGAGCCAGGCACCCACGTGACCCACGCCTGTCATCCCAGCTACTCAGGAGGCTGAGGCAGGAGGATCACAAGGTGGAGGCCAGCCTCAGCAACAGCGAGCCCCTGAGCAGCGCAGTGAGACCCTGACTCTAAATAAAATACAAGACAAGGCTGGGACAGGGCTCAGTGGGTGAGGGCCCCTGGGGTCACTCCCTGGTGTACCCCCCCCAACAGGGATCCCAGGGGCAGGAACACAGGCTGTGCCGCGTGCTGAGCCCCAGGTGACCCCCCTGGTCTACAGCCTCCTCACTCATGAGGCCCAACTCTGGCCCTGACCCCGACTCCGGCTGGGTGGGGGATTCTGCGGCCCTGAGAGGGACCCCCGGGGGCTGTCTCTGGGACAGCTGGTGGCCTCGGTCCCCGCTCAGCCTGCCCGTCGTCCCCTCACCTGGCCTTCACTTCCCTTCTGCAACGTGGGCACAGCAGGACAGCACCCCCAGGGTCACCCAATCTCTGCGAGGTCCCCCACCTGGAGGCCCTGAGCAGCAGCCACTCACCTGCTCGCCCAGGGCCTGGCAGGTGGAGCAGATGCTGTGCTGCTGGTGACTCCGGGAGGCGGGCGGGCCAAGGAGGGCCAAGCTGATGCTGTCCCCGTCCTCAGAGGTGAGGTTCCGGAAGAACTTGGCAGGCTCCAGGACCCAGGGCCGGGGGCCTCCTTCAAACAGCATGTCCTTTGAGGAGCCCAGGGTGACCACAGCTACGGAGGATGGGTCCACGGCCTGGGAGGGAGAGGGGGGCCTCAGCCTTCCCCAGGCAGGGCAGGGGACAGGTGGGGCAGGGCCTCGGGGCCACGTCTTTGCCCTCTCTGTGGGGACAGCCCAGTGCCTGAATCCCCCGTGCAACCCTCCGTGTCTGGGAGACCCCAGGACGCAGCGGGCTCTGGAGGGAACCCAGCCTCGCTCCCCCCTGGCCTCTGAGGGACCCTTGGCTTGGCCTCTATTGGGACATCCGCGGGAAGAGCCCCAGGGAGCTGTGGGCACAGTGGCCCAGGGCAGCCGGCTCACCCTGAGGGGCAGGTAGGCGGTGATGGTGAGGCTGGCGCTCAGGTGGACGTGGCCATGCGTGTAGCTCACCAGGAGTGTGGTGGAGCCCCGAGCCTCGGCCTTCACCCGGACGCCACCACAGTGCTCAGGCCCCTGGGGCAGCCGCCCTGTGCCAAGGAGAGAACTGCAGTCACCATGGGAAGCTGGAGGGGCGCATGGCTAGCTCAGGGCCCCTCCACCTGGCTGGACACACAGCTGATGCCAACTTAAGAGCCTTGGGGCTGGGGTGTAACTCAGTGCCTGACACCCGACCCCGAAAACAGACAAAGAATCAAACAAGTCACCCACCAAGTTGTCCTAAGGGAACGACTCACGGTCTTGTCTTTACCCCACAGACCTAAGATGGCCTGTAGCTAAGACTCAGGTCAAGAAGCATAAGATAGCAGGGTGGTGGCCCACGCCTGTCATCCCAGGGGCTGGGGAGGCTGAGGCAGGAGGATCGCAAGTTGGAGGCCAGCCTTAGCCACTCAGCGAGGCCCTAAGCAGCTCAGTGAGGCCCCGTCTCTAAATAAACTACAAACTAGGGCTGGGACGGGGGCTCAGGGGTCTAGTATCCTGAGTCCCATGGCCGGTACCCACACCCCACAAAAATGACATTTCACTATGGGCACGAGGGTCCTTTTCTAGGCCGGGTGTTTTACCCCGTGGGCCTCTAAAGCCTGGCCACGACCACTGTCACGAGCTGTGGCCTGCAGCTCCACAGCCTGGAAACAGCAGTCACCAGCCCGCCACGTCTGCCCTCTCCCAAGAGGGCTTGGCCCACTCGGGTCCTGGACGGTCCACATTCCTGCCCCTCGGCTGGGTTCACTTTGGTCCTTTGGCTCCTCTTTAGGACCTCGGGGGGTTTTCTCCATGGACGATGATGTCCCCGGAAAAAGACTCTCATGGATCTGTTTATCTCTGTAGCAATGGCGTCCTGTGGCTCACACCTGATTTTAGCGACCAGTCCTTTATCTGAGACGATCTAGCCAAAGGGGTCTCAGTTTTATTGATCCTTCAAAAGATCCAACGTTTGGTTTCGTTAATTTCCTCTTATTTTCTTTTGCTGGGGGAGGAACAGGGATTGAGCTCAGGGGCCCTGGACCCTGAGCACATCCCCAGCCCTATTCTGTATTTTATGAGAGCCAGAGTCTCACTGAGATCTGTAGGGCCTGGCCATTGCTGAGGCTGGCCTCCAACTCACCATCCTCCTGCCTCAGCCTCCTGAGCCGCTGGGATGAGAGGCGTGGGCCCTGGCGCCCGGCTCTCCTCTGATCTGATCTGAGTGCTTTTCTTCTGCGAGACGGCACTGGGTTTAGCCTGTTCTTTTTCTGTTTCTGTAAGTACTGGACTTAGTTGCTGAGTCGAGCTCTCAGTCTTTTTGACTCAGCAGCCGCAGCTCTGCGCCCCCTGGAACCCAATGCTCTTGCCACACTTCCAAGTTTGGGTCCCTGTTTTATTTTCTTTTGTCCCAAGGACTCTCTGCTCCCCCGTCATTCACTGGCTGATCCACTGTGTGAACAAGCCAGTTTTCTTTTTGTCCCGGATTCCCACCGGTGGCCTGGTGTGGCCTGGTGTGGCCAAGGAGACACTGGAGGGTGCAGTCACACTGAGAGGCGGAACCAAAGAGGCCCGGTGACAGCCGACAGCCGACACAGAGACCTCAGAGGGGCAAGCGCTGCAGACCCTGCATTTTCTCTACATCCCCATCAATGTCATTCTCAGTGTGACAGTGTGACAGTGGCATCTATCACCAAGAGTGACTGAACAGGACGAATTAACACATCAATCCCCCAAGAGCGCCCTTCTGTGGCGTCTAACAGTGGAACTTCTAGAAAGGGGAAGCAGGATAATGGTGCTCAGGGACAGGGCGTGGGAGGGATGGGGCGGGGAGGGGTGTCCCTAGTCACAGGGAACAAAGGGTCAGATAGAGGGGAGACAGCTGCAGCGGCACAGCAGGTGTCCATGTGTGTTTCTAAGTCTCCCTGCATCTGAAGTGGTCAGCCAGGGCCCTGAGCTCACGGTGGGGGACGCGCTCAGGAGGGAAGCAGGCAGGACTTAGAGGCCTCTCAAGGTCACCAAGGGCAACACTGGTTAAAAATGCTTTTTTTTTTTGGTGCCAGGGACTGAACACAGGGGCCCTAACCCCTGAGCCCCGTCCCCAGCCCTATTCTGTATTTTATTTAGAGACAGGTTCTCGCTGAGCTGCTTGGGGCCTCAATGAGTGGCTGAGGCTGGCCTCCACTTTGCGATCCTCCTGCCTCAGCCTCCTGAGCTGCTGGGATGACAGGCATGTGTCACCGCACAGTTAAGAGCTTCTGAAGAAACAAGGCCGTCGTTGACAAAACTTACCCAGTTTAAGAAACTCTGCCACAGCAGGCGGAGGGACCGGGGACAGGGTCCCACAGATCCCTGTGAATGTCTCTGCACTGACCAGCAGTCCCTGCCTAAGATAACTATTCCTTAAGCCAACTGAGTCGTCCCCAAGGCCACACAAAGTCCTGCATGCAGTCACTTGGGAGCCTACAGGAACTTTCTGAGAGAAATCCTGACCCCAGGACTCCTGTCTCAACAGAATCCCCCTAAAGACGCAAGCGTCCTGGGGTGAGAGCCAGGCCTGGAGACCCGGCCACGGCAGGCAGCACTGGCCAGGACCTCTGCCCATGAGGCTGAGACAGACCGCAGCTTATGAGGACGCGGCCATGGCCACCCCAGGCTGGCGCTCTGCTGCCTCGGCCCCGCCCCGCCGGCCAGCTGCCCCGCCCGGGAGGGGCTGGAACACGCCCCGCTTCTCCACGTCCACCGCCAAGTCGAAGTGGGAGCAGTCGCTGAGGGTGACCACCTTGCTGTCCCTACTGGGCATGAGGCCGTTGATCCTCAGGGGCAGCTCCAGGGTCTGGCCCACTCGAGCCTCCACCCGGCATGGGGCGAAGTCCATGCTGCTGGGCTCGATCACATACACCTGCAGGAGGGCCAGGCCTGGGCTGTCAGCCTCTGCAGGAAGCAGCCTGCGGCTCAGTGGCTCAGTGTGCCAGGTGTGCTGTGGTGGCCCTGAGGACACACCAGAGGACAACCAGGCTGGGCACGGAGGATGCAAGCACAGAGCTGACTAGGAAGGGGATTGGTCTCTGAGAGGTGCACAGACATGAGCCCGTCAGCCCTGCCAGGTAGAGAAATGTCTCCCTGGGGAACAGTCAGGCCAAGAGACGGTCCTGAGATGGACTTAGCTGCTCAGCTCCTGGTAGGCACACAAAGGAGGCCAGTGTGACCACACGTGGTGGTGCACCCTGTCATCCCAGTGGCTCGGGAGGCTGAGGCAGGAGGATCGCAAGTTGGAGGCCAGCCTTAGCCACTCAGCGAGGCCCTAAGCAGTTCAGTGAGGCCCCGTCTCTAAATAAACTACAAACTAGGGCTGGGACGGGGGCTCAGGGGTTGAGGGCTCCTGGGTTCAATCCCCTGAACGCCCCATGGAAAGGACAGTGTGGCCACAGGGGGAGGAGGCCCAGAAGGCCATGGGCAGGGCCTGACCCCATTTTCACTCTGGCTGAGCTGGGGAGGCTGCAGAGGGCGCCACACTCTGGGTCCTGTGCAAAAATCGGCCACCAGGCGACTAATGGGGAAGCTGCTGGTGGGCAGCAGTGGCAGATCTGAGGGGCGACCCTGGACGGACAGCTCAGGTGGCCTGGGGCAGGGCGGGAGGCCAAAGTGGCCACTCACTGCCTGCAGCTTCTTGGCTCGCTCACCTGTCCCTCCTGTCTCCTGCCAGGCAAGCCCAGGGCCACCAGCCCCAGTAGCCCGAGGACCAGGAGGGGCTCTGACAGCCCAGCCCTCTCTGGGGGTGTCCAGGAGGGGACCACCTGCCTGGCCCAGGAGCTGTCCTGGGGCTCCAGGTGGCACAGGAACTGCAGGGAGGAGGGAGGCCGTGAGTGGCCACAGTGGACACCACACTGCACAATGGGGCTGCCCCCCCAGGGCCTCTGTCCAGGTGTCCACACATGGCCTGGGCTGTCTAGTGGGTGTGTGGTTCCCAGCAGGAGGCGGAAGGACCTGCCACCCATGTCCCAACCACAGGGACACAGCCTGTATCCTCTGCTGTTAGTGGGTCAAGAAGGGGAGCTCAGAGCGGTGGTCAGGAGGGGCTGGGGGCAGAGGCCGTGGGGGCAGAGGGATGGCCATCTGCCCTGCGTGTCAGGGAGAAAGTCCCAGGCGCAGCATGGCTCTGGGGTCTCGGGCCCCAGGGCCTCTCCCCGTGACCCAACAGCCCAGGGCAGGGTGGCCCTCTCTGGACCGGCTGACCCTCCAGGTCCTCAGGGTGCTCTGGTCTCCCGCCAGGACCCCAGCCCCGGGGCACTGGCCCTTCCGGCTGGGGCGAGGGTGCCAGGTCGCGGTCCCACAGGGCAGACTGGGCACTCCTGGCCTCCCGGCCACCCCTGGCCTACTGTCCATCCCGGGGTCTCACCTTCATCTCACCGAAATGCAGAGGGTTCTGGACATCCTGTGCCCAGACCACACTGAGGCCCGTGTCACTGCTTGTGGTCATCACGCCCTTGACGGTGACGGTGGCCACCAGGTGGATGGAGGAAGACCAGCTAAAGTTCCCGCTGCCCCCGTGGGCCTGGGGAGAAGAGCCACCAGGGAGCATGCAGTCACCGGCCGGCCTTGGGAAGTGGCAGGTGGGGGATGAGGTGCCCACTGCCGTGCTGGCCAGGGACATGTCCACGCTATGTCCACATATCACTGAGTCACGCCATGGCCACCACATTCTCCCAGCCCACCTGCACCTGCCCATGCGTGCCACCGACCCCCGGGAACGCCACCTGCTCGCACCCTTCTGCCCCACACAGGGACACACACAGATCCACGGACCCGTGGAAATCGGGGGCTGGAGGTGCCCATGGGCCCTTGAACCCTTGTTCCCATCTCCCTTCTGGTCCTCGTGTGCTGGGGACTTCCTGCTCTGGGGACATCTGTGCTCTGGGGACGTTTGTGCTCTGCAGACCTCATGCTCTACGGAACTCATGACTGCAAGACACAAACACGGAACCCTGGCCCTGGCCCTGGCCCCAGAGTCACCAGCAGACGCTGCTTCTGTGACCAGACATGAGCACAGGCCCTGGCCAGGTCCTGACCCCCTGCTGGGGACAAATGCCAGACTCGCTGTGGCCAGGTCAGGGGTTAGGATCCTGAACCCCAGAGGCCAAGATGGCACCAGGTCTGGGTGGGCAGGGACAGATTCTGGTGCAGAGACAGGCCACCTGTCATCACCAGGGGACCCACAAGGCCCTGGGACTGTGCTGACCACAGGGTGTGAGCCCCCTCCGAGGCCATGCCCTGAGGGAACATGGACGCCAGCGAGTTCAGACGCTTGGCGTGGACAGGGTTGCAGAGAGTTTTCCCTTAAAATCTCAAAGTTCTCTCTGGTGCACTTATGCTGCTCCACATGTTTTACACAAGTGACTGCCGAGTGGGACTCGAGGCCCTTCCAGGGCTCACTGTGGTCTCCAGCTAGTGTCCACTGTGGGCTGCTTCCCTGGCAACCCAGAACACTGCAGTGACAGGGACCTCAGGGAACACAGGACCACAGCCCCTGATACTTGGTAGTACCACAGAGAGCAACGCCAAGGGTACAGAACAGCAGGCATGTTGCACCTGGAATCCCAGCAGCTGGGGAGGCTGAGGCAGGAGGACCAAAAGTTAGAGGCCAGCCCCTCAGCAACCTAGTGAGGCCCTCAGCAACTCAGCGAGACCCTGTCTCTAAATAAGATATAAAAGGGCTGGGGATGGGGCTCAGTGGCCAAGCACCCCCAAGTTCAATCTCTGGTTACCAAAAAAAGTCACAGAGCGGACAGAGGCCACATGCCCGGGAAGCCCAGGTACCTGGATGGTGTACTGGTAGGCGCCAGTCTTGGGCTGCCACGGGAACGTCAAGATGCTGGGGTGGAGGGTGATGGGGACGTGGATGTCCACCTCCTGCTGGCTCCACACGGGCACTGGGAGCATGTGCACCCCTCCGTCCTGTCAGGGGTGAGGTCACTGAAATCTCTGGAAATAAACTTACAAGACCTACAAAGAAGTTTCTACCTTATATTCTAACTACCCCCCCCCCCAACACACACATATCCTCCCTGGAAAAATCCCTCATTCCAAAATGGTACCACTACTACTCTTGCTGAAATACAATCACAGAGGAAGGGGATTCCTAAAATAAATCTCAGAAGAGAAGCCACATCAGGATGGTCTTCTTGGCCCACTCAAGAACCTGGGGGAAGTTGTTGACCATTTCTTTTGAGAAAGGCCCACCCCCTTCTTCACCTCAATGCTGCTCTGATATTAACCTCGGGTTTGCCTAGATGAAAGGACAACAGGGACATTCTAATGAGGATTCATCCCTTTCTCTCATTCTTATCTTGGGTCCCAATTTTAGGCCATTCCATCAAAAGATATCAAATGAACAAAACAATAATAAAGAGAGTACATTACAGACCCACTTGCTCCTGAACTATGTGAATTCAACCAAACTTCCAGGTGTTTGAAGAAAAATCCCCCCCCCCAAATTACAAATAATCCAACCTCTACCACCAGAGCGTCTTCCAAGTTCACCGCTGTGCTGTCTCACCAACCCGAAAATGATGAGCCCTCCGCTGCGGACACCCAGGGCGCCTGGTGGTGAGGTCAGCAGCGTGTCCTGCCCCGCCCCACTGAGGCAACCTTGCTCTCAGACATTGAGGAACAAGCCCAGGCTGCCCGGAGTCTCAGATGCATCCACAGGAAAGGGGGAGAGGAACCCCATTTCATCAGCCGCCCTCAAGAGACTGATTTATCAGTAATTGACAAGCCAACCTTCTACCCAACAAGGCCCCTTGAAAAATGCAGGGTAAGATCTACAACTCCTCCTGATCATCCCCATGTTCAAGTTCAGGGTCATCTTATTTTCTGTTGCTTGGCATTTCTCCTCTGGTCACGCTGACACAAAACCATGCCTTTTTTTTTTTAAATTAAGAATGTCTATAAAAGAAAAGAGACCAGCAAGAGCATTTGTCTTTGTTCCCCAAGACAAACTATTACAAATGGGAAATAGGAAATTTGTAGATGGTATTTTCTCATCTGAAAAAGACAAACCAGGATTGTGGTGAGAGAACAGAAGAAAGGTAAACCTACTGGGAAATACTAAAAGTCAACCAAACAAGAATACAAAAACAAAATACAGAGCTACACAGAGGAAGCCTGAACGTATTTGTGACTCCAAGTAAACCTTGAAAGATATGCCCTTGTGATATCTGAGCCCAATGAGAAAAAACTTGAGAATAAAGTGTTAAGTGGGTGTGGGAGGGGACTACTAGCAAAGGAATTCAGGACCATATTTCCAAGAACACTGCGTACCAAAAGGCTGAAAACCTCTCGTGGAAAACAAGAAGAATGGTGGCAGAGCTGTCCCACAAAGCTAAAATAAGTAATTTGTTCACCTAAATCACCTGTTGCAATTTAAATATGCAAAGTGTTCAAAAGAACCCAGCAACACCTTTGATCAACACAGTTCCGGAGACAGGTTGGAGATGTGACCCAGAAACTGTGTACCTTGGCTCAAAACACAAGAAGAGAGAAGAAAAAGGATGACTATTTCTCATTACTGTCACCAAGTAGAAGATGCCAAAGAGAAACGAGGTGCAGTGTCTGAGAGCAAAGAATTGCAACTAGGCTGGACACAAGATCAGGGCTCCTCTGCTAGGTTAGATAATACTGTATGGAAGGGGCTCAGAGAAGAGTGGACAATTAATTCCTCCTCTTGGGGCTCAGCTTCACTAACCTCAGAGTTGTTCTACATTCAGTGTACTGGCAAGGTGACCTACTACTCCCTCTTGGGAGGAACCACCATGCCAATTGTTATCAGGTGAAGCCAAAAAAGTACAATGAGTTGGAAAGTGTTTCATAAAAATCTTTCTGTCCCCTTGGAGCTTTGGCAAAGGAATGGAGGTATTCGATGAATTTACACTTCCATTTTACAAATAAATCTCTGCCCTTCTTGAAGGTCATTTTATAAGCTATATAAAAGTCAAGCTGATCAGAGGTGAGAAAGAGGAAGAATCTCCCACAAAAAGAGCTGGTACCTGTAGGTTTACTTGTAGTGCACCAGAGTTGCTTCCTCTGTTTCATCAGCATTGGTTAGGTCTGAGAGACAGCAACTTTCCAATTAGTTATGGACTGGAACAGAAAGCCACCAGACCAGGCATGACTTGAGACACCATCTGGTGGTATAAAGCCCCTTTTTAGAAGGATGACAAAACAGTCTCAGAGAGGTGAAATGACTTGCACAATGCAAATCAGAAGCCGAATCAAGGGTAGCACCCAGATCTTCTGACTTCCAACTCAGTGCTGCTGGGTTTTTCTCACTATACCAAAATAATAAAGAAAGGGCATGGCAGAGAAGACAAGAAGAGAGTCTGTTTTGTTCTCTGGTAGCCAGGGTAAGGAGAAGGCTGCCACTGCTAAGAGAAACCCCAAAGTGAACCCAGCTAAATGGGACTGTGCTTGGGACAGAACAGGGGCATTACCTTTCAACACCAGAGGTTCTTTGCCTTCTCTCTTCAGGGACTTGAGGACTATGTGAAGCGGCTGGGAGGGCATCACTCGGCGCGGTTCATTGGTATTCTCATCATAAACTATAATTTCTTTGGAAAAGATCCTCTTGAAAGAGTCCTTGCCTTCCCTAAAGGAAATCAAGTCTAGAACAGTGATCTTGCCTTGCTGCAGTCTCCGCCGGCTGATCTTATTGGCACAGTTAACAGCTCCTTGGATGTGACTTTTGTTGTACTCCATGAAGGGTACTCAATGATGACAGGTCCCTGGCTTGGCAGGTGACTCTTGCTGCATTTGGTCATCTTCCTTGCCAGGTCATTGGGGTAGATTATTTTGATGCTGGATAGCTGCTTGGGGGTCCCCGACACAGGGCTGCCCACCCCACCTGATGGACTTAAAGAGCCTGTATTCTCATTGCTGTTGACCATCTGGTTAGCAGGGCAGGTGGTAGAGGTTCCAATGGCGGTCGTGGCGGTGGTGGCAGTGCCAGCAGCGATGGCTTGGGTTTGGGCCTGATTGTCCTTGTCGTAGGTTGCCACAGTGCAGCAGCTGGCACTGCTGCATCCACAATTCAGGGAGCGGGCAGAGCCGCTGGATGAGGGCATATACGTCAGATTCGCAGCCTTGAGGGACACAACTGTGGTGGCGATGACAGGATGGTGTCTATTGCTGCCTGGGGTGGCAGAGCCAAGATAGCTAGAGTCTAAACAAAGGTTGAGATCCTGAGGTCGGACGGGCCTAGATAGTGCCACTACTACCCTGTCGTCTAAAGGAGACGGAGGCATGAGGAGGCTGAAAACCGGCAATTCAAGAAGAACTCAAGAGTCTGTAAAGAAGGGGAAGGGGGAAAGAAAGAATAAAGTCATATGACACAAAAGGCAGTCTCATCCAATCCCGAAGAAAGGTCTTTGCATATTTCTGAGCAAAGTTGTCCTAGGTGCCCTTTTATATCCCACTATCAAAGCTCCAAACCCATTTAGATAAATTCAAAGAGGATGCAAACCTGAGGTCCCCGTCTATTTGGTTGCTGAGTGTAAGGTTATATTAGCCTTAATATTGGAAATGTTAATGAACAACCTTTCTTGGACTACATCAAAGTTCAGCCTTAGAGAAGGTAAAAGCATAAAGAATTAGAAAAGCTAAAGACAGAAAGAAAGGTTCTTAAGAGGCATCTATTCTGGGCCTCATCTCCTGGGCAGAAGTATACTGCAACTGAGAAAAAAACTCATCTGTTCACCCTTGCATGCTTTCCACTTAATTCCTTTACCCACTGCAAAGGCAAAGAGATGACCAAGAGCATTGGCATGGCTCACAGAAATATACAGCATCTAAATATACATCAGGGCGGATGTCAGCCTTCTGCAAATCAGAATGAAATTATCCCCATAAGTGTCTCTTTAACTAGGAGCTGTTCTTGCTTTCCATTCTATTAGGTCCTTTGAAAACGCACAACATAGTCATATGAAAACCCCACATGTTTCCTGTTAGCCTCTTATTATCAGTCTGCATTTCCCCCTTTTACTACAAACTGGTGTCCTAAAACGAAGTCTCAAGCCAGAAAGCCACGACTGCAAGCCTCAACCCTAGCAGATCCATCACCACTGCTCCCCTGCCCACATTCGCCTCACTCTTTCCTCTGAGGAAAGGACCTCTGGGGGTCTCCTTCCCTCTTCATCTCCTGCCTTGGCACAGGCTTTGTACCCTAGAGCTCCTCTCACTTGGAGCAGCTGATTTATACCAATTTCAATCCCAAACTGATACCCCTGCTTTTGGTGAGAGTATGGCTTCCATATAGAGGCATCAGTGCCCCCTTCAACAGAGACAGGCTCATTGGGAAGTGTTTCCCACTGGGTCTACTTCAGAGGGTGCCTGAAAAGGGACAGTTCCTTCCTCCCTGGAGGCACAGGGTCACTGCACAACATAGCCCTTCTGGCTTCTCTCTTTCTAGTAGACATACACACAGCAAAGAAACCAAATCCCAAGCTGCTCACTTAAAACGAACTTTAAGAGCTGCCCGGAAAAATGCCATCCATCATTCGTCCACACACAATCTTCACCATTCTCTGACACAGAGCCAAAGTGTCACAGGCAGAATCCACACACGCAAGAAGAGGAGCAATACCCACCATGCCGGCCAGCCAGCATATCCCTATAGACTCAGGTTTCTCTCACCCACCTTTGGATGGGAGCAAAGGATCCAACCTCCAACCTCCAACCTCCAACCTCCTCCACTCCCTTCCCTCCCTCTTCCCTTGCATAGTATTTTTTTTAAGAGCGAGTACTATTCCAGAAACTAACTGTTACTGATTTGAGTAGATTATAAAGCCTCTGTGGTCTGAAACTTTCACTTGATCTCTCATAGTATTAACAAATTCAGAGAAACTCAAGGAGATTGTTAAATGCTAAAACTACATTTTAAAATATTTGTCTAAAAATCTAAAGATGTTATTTCTTGAGAAACTGACTTCAGTTTAGCCTTATTCAAGCATCACTCTCACTGCAGACCTGGTTTATTAGTAACAATGCAGTAAAAGCACACCAAGTAATGACATCTTTGATCTTCCTCCTTAGTTTCATGTTTCTCATGTTTTGACTGATTGCTTTCATGAGGTATATAATAAAAATACTTCCACCTCAGGCCATATTCTCAATCACTGTCACTTATGGATCTCGCCTATTACATGCTAAAAGCAGTCATGATATGAACTTCACAGACAATAGTGTTTAAGAGCTAAAGACTTTCATAATACAGTAAAGCAGACAGCATAGAAATTTTAAAAATAGAGGAATTTTTATACTCACAAATTCATCTGAACATATCCATAACTCAAATACAGAATACCCACATATTCATATATTTATCAGTCTGGAGATCCTAAAATAAGCTAGCATTTTTGTACAGAATATGTATATTTCTACGAACAAGGAATTTAAAACTTGAGAGAATAAATAAATAGCATTTATGAAGACAATTGAGGGAATGCAAAGCTATGGATACCTTGGGAAGCACATACGGTATAATCATTCTACAAAACACTGGTATAAATGGGTGTACATTTCTAGAGTTGCAGTTTGAAACACAGACCCACAGAACAAGGACATTAGGAGAGACATGATTCTTACTAATTGATATGAGGTAGAACTTGTGC